AAAAACATCAGCAAAGATATTTTATTGTGAAGATGATCACTACGTGACAGAAGTTTTCAAAACCATTTATGGTCTCCGGTGCTTCCAGTCCAACGCCGACTGCATGCACAGAGTAAGAAAATCGGGCCTTCAAAATAAAAGTTTGACTTTTTCCCCCCAAAATTTTTTTCTAATTACATTTTTTTTTTTTCACTCACACATCCGCGACGGCGCGACCCACTCCAAACGGGTCCGCGACCCACCAGTTGAGAACCACTGGTCTACAGCATAGTTTTGCCGGTTGCCATTTGTTTTGAATATGGGTAAAAATAAGGTAGATTTGTTTGTCAAAAGAACATAATGGCTATTGACAGTAGCTGCAATTTTAAACAACTCGTGTGTAAGATGTCCTGCAACGTTTTAGTAGTATCAGGTAATCTTGCTTTGAACCTCAACCAAGGTGGTACTAAAAAGAGTTTTTAAAAAAAGCGTGTGCTGAGTGGAGGCGAGTACATGCAGCATACAGTAGGCTATGTGCGGTACTTTGACATTAATGCAGAGAGACTTCAAACTGTTTGGGATACTCACACCTGACAGTGAGGGTAATATTTGTTGTTTGACTTCATTTTCTTTTCAAATAGGTTTTGCCTGAGGGTTTCTTTAAAACTTTTAAAAATCATAAAAAGGCTCCTCTTTTTTGAATTCTTTAAGCAATTTTGACATGTATCCAGATATCAAAATTGCATGCTGGAGCGAGAGTTGCTTTAAATTAAAAAGACTTAGTTGATTATGAAAAATAAAACAAGTAGGACTATGTTCTTTTTTTGTTCATGCACTGAAAAAAATGAAATGTTGACTTTAATTAAATATATTATGTCAAACAGATTTCACATAACTGTATTAGGTTAGTTGAAAGCAATAATATTAAGTTGAACCTATTTGTATTTAAACGTTATAGTATTGCTTTCAACTAACCTAATACAGTTATGTGAAATCTGTTGACATAATACATTTAATTAATTTTAGTATTTCAGTGTTTGCCAAAGTATCTACATTCTTGGATTGTAATACAAAAAAAAAACATTCCAAAAGACCTACAACATATAAAATATGTCCTCTAGCACAAATGAAGGCTGAAAATGAAACCTGCACACCGACAGACTGGCATGTACCACAAAGTGTGACACCCTTCCCCCTCAGTTGAGTAAGGGACTGTTCATACCCAACCATCATTCCCCCCGAGTTAAACCCCATCTGTTCCTCTGGTAGAAACAGGAAAAGAGAGGGAGGTTGGAGGAGAAATAAGTGTGGGGGTGCTGAGGTGAGTAGGAAATCAGTGTGGGATCTGGAGAGAGATGGAGAAGGAGAGAGGAGATAAGGAGAGGAGGTGGCCAAGATGGAGGTGGTAGTGGTGGTGGGTGAGAGGAGAAACAGAGGCAAAGAGAGAGGAGGAGGAACCCCAATGCTCGGCCACTTGAAACATTCCTTGTTTGGTGCTCCTGGAAGTACAAGTGGTCTTAAAAGCAGGTGGGCTTCTGTCCCTCAGAAGAGAATAAAAGGGCTCATCAGATAAAGGCAGTTTTGTTGACAGGTGGTGACAACATTGGTGCAAGTCTGGATTTCAAAATCAGGTCGGAGATACAGGGTCCCACGGTTCAATAAAGTCAGACTGAAGCATGCTTTGTGCACCAGTCAATCCTAACAGTAAATACAGAGCTAAATCCAAATGCAAGCTAAAGGGTCTTTGAGCATGTAGTATTTCAGTGATAATGATGTTATGTTAAATGTTTTTTTGTGTTTTTTTTTCACGTATTGTGATATTTGTCCATGTTGATTTTACAAATGGAGCTGCTGATGCAAGTCAAATGTCCGACTTGATCTGACCATTAAAGTATTATCGTATCGTCAAGTAAACTTTTCAATCTCCCTCCACTTTGACAAAGCCCGCCACGGCACGTACGTTTCCTGTCACTTTCCCAGGCTTGGAATCGGAGGCGGCGGCGGCCGGCCAGTCACTTCTTTGTGGCCATGCGTGGGACAGCCTCGCCCCCCCTTCCCCTCCTTGACCTGCAGCTGCCACTCACACTGACATCACCAAAAAGCCCCTTGTTTTGTCTCTAAAACTCCTCCTCAGCCAAAGGTCAAGGTTCAGTTTGCGGTGGGTGGGAGAGAGTTCTCCAACACATACCCAGACAAATTAGTGGGCCGCCTAAATGTATTGGGCGCTTTGCAGATGTGACAAACATATCACACCCACAGTATTGGTTTATCAGGTATTTACTTAAATGCTGCATTATGCATGAGGCTACACAATGCTTAATTACACTTGAATTTATGTTGATTCCTCATTCAAATGAGTCTGTTTGATACATGGACTATTCTCAAGAGAAGGCATGTAATTACTGTACTATTTCCTTTAGCATATGACTGCTGCTTGCATTTGTAACCAAGGAGGGATATACTGTATAAAGTCAGAGATACTTGTCTTCTCAAGAAACTGCTTCTTCGCGGTATAATGACGGCAGGAGAGCTTAGGTTTGTGAATTCCAAATCCTATTTACCTCTCCTCAACATTAGAGTGAGCAACACTTTGCTCGAAACTATTTGATGATAAAAAGCTTTTGAAATATTTATTTGAATTTGAAATTGAGAGGCAGTCGTGAAGGCATCAGCCAGTGTTTTTCTCTTTTAATCCGAACTTCTATATCTGAGGGCAAGAAGAAAAGCAGAAAGTAAAGGAGGGAGGAAGGAAGACAAATGTGGGGGAACATCTATGTGTGTATGTAATTATTGTGATAGCACAAAAGTGTGTACTTATGTGGGCTTATGTATGTGCACCTGTGTGTATTACAGAGTGTGTATCATGTGTGTCTCTTGCTGAGTGAGGTGAGAGACTGCCTGATTTTTGAACCACTGTAAACAAGCCAGAGCCTTGTTAACGATGCCACTCAGAGTTAATGCGCAAAACAACTTTCAACTCAAAATCCGCTTTTCAGGAAAGTCTGAATTCCTCGCTTATTAGCCCAGAAGAAATGCTGAACCGCACTCTACCTCAGTATGGCAGAGGAATCTTTGGAAGTAGCTACAAATTCCCGTTCAGACATAGTGAACCATACAGCATGGAGCTTGTGTATACCCAGGTAAATGTATTTCCATAACCTGTCATTTCAGGATAAAAACACACACACACACACACACGTCAACATCTCCACAGAGGCCTATGACAACAGGGGACACACACAGAATACATAAAGAATCCTCACCTTTCTTGGTTTCTCTAAAAAAAAACCTGAACACACACAATTGCAAAAATGCAACACAAGAGTTAAATCACAAAAAACAGTATAGAATAGAGTTGGGAGGGATGAAACCCTCTTTAATGGTCACACATGCAGAGCACACAGCACACACAGTGACATTTGTTCTCTGCATTTAACCCATCCTAGTACCAGGAGTCTAGTACTAGGAGCAGTGGGCAGCTATTGTACAGCGCCCGGGGAGCAATGAGAGTGAGGGGGGAAGGGGGATGTCCGGTGCCTTGCTCAAGGGCACCACGGCAGGGCAGGAGGTGAACTGGGACCTCTCCAAGTAGAAGTCCACACTCCAAATAGGTCTGGTCGGAGACTTGAACCGGCGGCACTATGGCTCACAGTCCAAGCCCCTACTGACTGAGCCACTGCCGGACATCAATGTATACATCAACTATCCAATACACTTCAATTGGATTCATAATCATTATTCCAAAATCACTTTTTGACATTGGATAATGTCAACATGCAACACAACAACTCGAAGATTTCTTCCCTTTCGCTTTTCAGATCAAAAGCTTATTCAAAACATCAAATACATTTAATGCGAAACATGCCTATACATACTAACACAGAGAAATGAATTTGAACCTGCCATATAAAACAGACAGGGTTAATTCAGAAGTCTTGCGGACCAGTAGAATTACTTCTATGTGCTCAGGTTGCCCTCTACTGGCCCCTTTTTCTGTAGCATGAAAAATGAGTTTACCTGCTTGAAGGCACACGATTTGAATTCACAGTTACAGCAGAAAGTACAGATGCTATTTAATGGCCTGTCAAAACTGCAGAGTAGTTTGAGTGATCTTTATATGTCTTATTATATATGAATATGTAATTACTTGGAAGGGTTCCATTAGAAGTTTTATTGGTTATAGATCATCTTTTAATACTGTATTGTGCATACGTTAATGTTTTGCTTGCCAAGGAATGTAAATAATATACAGTATATCATTGGGTTTGTGTTATAGATATATACTTTATTGATCCCAATTTGGGAAATGATAGGGGTAACATTTAGATTTTATATCTTCATAAGCCTCTGTTCAAAAATGGGGAAATAGAGTTTAGCGATATGGACTTTTTTCAAGCTGGGAAAGTCAGACGAAAAGACTCTAGGTGTTTGAAACCTTAGGGACTAAAAGCTGGGATATCTCTGCCACTGCTCTTCCATTTTTGGCAACTCTTTCTTAGATTTGTCAAACGCTTACAATGTTTTACAGATAGGTAAAAAGTGACATGGCTGTTTGTCTGTTATGACCTGTGTCAGACATGATCATTTAACAACATTGATCAAGGTGAAAGGGTCAACATGTAGTTGAGAAGTTGAGTCGTCTGCTGCAACTTCAATTGTGTTATAGGCCTTTTTGACAAGGCACTAAAAAGACAAATGGCTTTGAGTTTCATTTGGTGGGCTATAATAAATGAGGGATGAGGAAGTATCAAGGTACAAAGTGGGGTAGGGGAACGAGATGCAGGAAGCTCTTCCATCCTCACGAGTCCTCTCCATCCCACGGATCAATTCTCTTAAAGTAATGGAATTGTTTATTCCCTTTCCTGAGGAGGTTACCACTTCACTCGCTCTGCTACTACTAAAGGGCAGACAGGGCATGAAAGATATTCACAGCGCTGTGTGAACATTATGACATGTACAATTTCTCAGGCGTACAATAAATGAAACTATTCAACATCCTTTCCACAAAGCGAGACTCAGAATGAAATGCCATCATTTCCATCACAGGAGAAGTCCTGGAGATGTTTTCTTTATATGAACAAATTCAAAGTGATATCAGCCTTGAACTATTAATATTCAAATGCAACACATGCAGCAGTTTGTTAAAGAAATCCCAAGGCACACATAAGGACACATTACTGTACCACACTGAAATGATACTAGATTTATTCCAGTGATTTCCACAAGGCTCTAAGACATAATTGAGGCAACAGATATTTTCACGTCTTGGATTTCGGAGATATTTGTTACAGAGTTTTGTCCCATTCTCCTGTTTCTGAACATGCTTCCCATGTGGATTCCTGTGCCGTGACACAGCTTTCTGAATCTCTCCTGTACTGCGGCTCGGGCTCCATCAGCATGACTGATCTCATTTATCTCCGTCGCATCCAAAGAGGCCCGGGGTGTATGGGAAGGGAGCTTCAATAGCAGTACTGTTACTGCAAAAGCACAGATCATTGAGCTGTGCAGCCGGGGACTCGCATGTGTGAATAACAGTTTGTATTTAGGATTTGTCTGTATGGGGAACTCCAGGGTGCAGGAGATGTATGGCGCTTCATTATGGGATAAATAAACAGATCACTGCACTGCATCATTTTACGCACTGGATTCAATATTAGTCTATCAATAATTCCTGCTGAGATGTCAAACACGCAGCAACAAACATATGACATAATAGATTCAAACAGATGTGACTTCACGCTGAATTACAGGATGTTTATCAGTTGGAGGGATAATATGCTTATATAAAATTGTAACAATGAAAATAATTTAGCTGAACTTGAAACAAGAATCCAGAAAATGTATTTCCCATGGCTATTTAGTCACTCAAAAAGTAGGTATACCATGAAAATGACAAGAAATAATGATCTGATAACACATCAAGAGAGAAATATTACAAGGATATTTGTAGGCTGCTTCCACAGAAAGCTCATTCTATAGGACTCATTGTCTCATGTCTCTGTAGCCCCACTTACCATGACATGTTGTTCCTTTGCTTGTAATTGATTTTGACTTCAATTGATTAATATAGTCTGTGCAGCGCCTGAAGCACAACGCTAGTTATTTGGGGCCCACCAGGAGCTTAATCTCCTAAAATGAGCTGAATTAATAAGAGTGTTCAAGTAACATATTGATCACAGAATCGATGTCTGTTCCTTTGCAGCGTGCTCCAATGATTACTATGAAATGGAACAGCATTAAGTAATGAGGAGAGTCCTTTTTTTCAATCATTTTGCTTCAATCTACATTTAAATAGGGTGTTTCCTGATTGATATTGTGTAAATCGTTAATGCTACCTTCCATCACAAGATGGAATCAAAATAGCGCATCACTGGAAAGATGTTTCCACAATCTCCAAGTTTTTATCGATTAAGATTAAATGTTTTTCTTACAGATCAGACCAAAAGCTTCTGCAAAGGCTGTATCAGAGCGTTGAAGGGATATTTATTTGACTTGATGTTATATTCTTTCCCGCCTGCAGGCAGCTTTAGATTCAAGTTTTCCCAAATGATTTAAAAAGAAGTGATATATTCAGCGCAAAAGTGCTGGTATCCATCATCTTGTTGTAGTATGGTTATGTCTCCCTCACAACAACATATTGCAAAATTAAGAAGAAAACGAGGAATGTAAAGTATTGTTCATCTGTTGTGGGCATTTTTTTTTTGAAGATATATTTAAAATCATTACATAAGATGCATACATACAATCTGTAAGTTTACCCAGAAACCACTCTCAGTCTTGGGAATACATTTTCCTTTCTTTTCACTTTCAATAGTTCTTTCTATAAATAAGTACTTTCTCAGTAATGCTCTAAAAACCTATTCATCATAAGACGTCCTTCACAATGCCAGTATGCATTTGGCACCTCTTAGTGAGAGAGCGGCTGATATATGAATAGACCTATCACACCTCATTGAAACTAAGCCAACAGAAGTATGCGAAGTACACTTGTTTTTGTCTTTAAAAAAAGGTAAACATTTAAATTAAATAGATAATGGATTCCTACATGTATGACAACATGTGTACATACCCACCAGGTGAAGCTCTCAGTTCACATCAGTAGGGTTTAATGAATCTGTGCTTCAGCGCTTTAGTTTGAGTGCAGTGGGATGAACGTTGCAGATGTCGAACCAGCGCTGATCCACCTCCTTGTGTGGCAGCAGGCCGTTGCGTAGCAGAAAGGGCCGGCGCCAGCGATCTCGGCTGCTCACCACCTGCCAGAAGCGTGCGCCCTTGAGTAGAAAGATGGCATTGTGGGTGTAGGAGAAGTAGGCAGCGTCGATGTTGCCATCTGGATGGTCTCCGCTCACCACTGGAGGGAAAACGTCTCTGATGTTTCTGGGGAAGCCTCTTGCCAAGCTGTTGGCTTCCACGTCGAATGCATACACCTGTTTGAACAGATAATTGTTTTTCCTTTTATATAGAAATCAATTAAATTACCACACGCAAACAAACCACAGAGGAAGTGTAGCAGGTTTGCTTGAATGAATATGTTCCCTCATAATGCAGAGACACAATGAATTCGCTTGGGCTTTGGTCCCTCTAACACGTTGCTTATGTATACATGTTTCATTCTCTGTGTATTATTTTGGACCCTGTTTCAGGTTGTTCTATGCTGTAATAACAGGACCTAGCTTTTCTCCTTTTTAATCAGATGTTTGATATGTTTAACACTCACAATACAACACATAAAAAAATAACATTAATTAAAAAATTAAATGAATACAAAAGTATAATAAATGCAATAAGAATAAAACCAAATAAAATAACATTAAATGAAATTATAATAATAGTAATAGTAAATACACATTTTTAAAAAATCACCAATGTCCACAAGCATCGCACTATAGTCTAGTCTAGTGTTTAACAGATTTAGTTTGATTTTGACAAAGGGTCCTCCTTACAAGGCCACACAATTATTAATGTTAAGGTGTATTGCAAGTAGTAATATGCCATCCCGTAAAGTATTATTTCTTTGTTATTCTTCTCTCACACGATCCATTCCTTACTATCTATTTTAACCCAACAAATCTAATATATGTGCTTACAATGCATCTCCCCAGTTATCATGTTAAAAGAGATTCTTACAAGTGTGTTTTTGAAGAAGTAGATGCGAGAGTCTCTCCTGTCATAGAAGGCTGTTTCGATGGGACCGAAGACCCCTGGGAACGCCTCAGAGATCAACCTCGGGTAGCGGTGACCTTCAGGGTCCTGTCTGAACACCTGGTCATTCTCATTGTCATACCCCCAGAACCGAGCACCTGGACACAACAACAACAGTCACAAAATATATTGACAGACATTAAACAAATACAAATAAAACCTGCTGGCAGACTTACCTTTGAAGAAGTAAACAGCATCTCTTTTTCTGGACCACACATGCACAAACGCATCCACTCCATCCATGGGGATCCCCCGCCAGCCGGCCTGCAGGGCCACTGGGTCTCCATAGCGTGTGCGGTTACTCTTGTTATCATACAGCCAGTACCAGCCGTTCCTCATGAAGTACGTGTTAAAGCGGATGACCGTCTCTCCATAGGAGGTCTTCTCCTTTCTGATCCAATCAAAAGCTGTGTTGAATCGGCCCTTACAGCCCCCTGGGTTCAAACACAAACACAATATGGAACAAATACTGGTTTTGTGTCAATGTTAAGTGTGTAAATAAACATGAATCTGTTTCTCTCAGGGTGTGTGGGTGTGATCCCACTAGATGGTGCTGTATCCATGTACCATAGAGGTGCTGAATGGCCTTCCTGTCTGACCATTCCATCTCAAAGCCGGCCTCCTGGGGCAGATAGCTGGGCTGCATTATGGAAGAAGCTCTGTAGATGTGAGGGAGACCCAAAACATGGCCGATCTCATGAACTGCTACCTGAAAGATAGGAAATAAAAACTGTTGTTGGACTAAAAAAAACCTTCTTTTTCTTTTTCATTAGAAAGTTTGTTTTGATGATGCTTACTTTGAGAAGGCTGATCCCACTGCCAGCACTGGGAGCAGTGAAGTGTTCATCGTCATCAAAGTGAATATCACCCAGGAACCAGGCGTGTGCAAATTCCTGCCCGGTGCCATCAAACCTCTGTTTGCAGCCCAGATGCCGTCCTGCCACAGAATCAAACAAAAGATGCATTGATTTTTCTGGGGATTTGAATAAAACATGATTGCCACATAGTGCAATATGTTACTTTATAGGAGTATACAGGGAAAATACATTAAATCAAACAGCTGCTAGCAGTAAAGCCATAAAGCTTTATTGTACCAAACAAAATATTCCTTTACTATTGGGAAATTACGACGGCCATTACAGCTGAAATATATGAGTTTTTAACACTAAAAATGACATTTTTTGTTGATATCGGACAAAGAGAGTTACTGACAAACTCTGTATTGTACTTTAGCATTTAAAAAAATGTAACTTCACTTAAGACAATATGGCTCATCGGGGTGATATGATTTATTTTATTAAATTAAAACAAATAGATACATAGATATGGATAGCTTCTCTAAGATTAGTTAGTGAAAGGAGATAGCGTTGTGAAACTTACCAATATTTGCAACCCAAATGTACTATTCTAAGAAACTTACTATAACTTTCTTATAAGAAAAGCTTTGCTATTAACTGGCTTTCATTTCATTATCTGGCTATCACTGAAAGATGAGATTAACATTCAGAAAGAAGTGATGTTATCCTAAAACAAATACTAGCAGTGCATATAATGTTGACATTTTAAACACAATGTCCTCAAAAGAAAAAGTGTATTGGGTCTGACGTACCTGTGCCAAAGCCCAGCCTGATATCAACATCCTCCAGTGGGGAACGTGTGTCCTCCACAAACTCCAGCGGAGACACCTCGCTCCACATCCTGAAGGCCAGTCTGAAGATGTACCTCTGCTCTTCGATGGACAGCTGGCTGCTGTAGCCTTCTCCTATCAGCCTCCATTTTAACACCCTCTTAGAGAAGGCCATGTATCCTGTTTGACTCAAATCTCTTTTGTGCCTGCTTCTGGATACCAGAGTGGCGAGGTGACGTTTCCTGCGTTGTACTGCTGGGCTCTGATGGCCGCTGTTATTGAACATTTGACTGTCTACAGCATTTGAGCTGTTTAGAGATGTGCTGTTTAAAATTGGATCAAATGATGTGAAATTCAAGCTGGTGTCATTGGAAATGCCTGTGAGAAGACTTTCTGTGTCATTAGCATTGAATATGTCATCTTCGAAGGAGTTGGCAGTGCCATAAGAAGAGTTACGGATTGTGTTGTTACTGTCAGTCTCATTTAAAGTGTTATTGGAACTGTTTTCAGTATCTAAAGCTCCACTGTTCTCAGGTGCTACAGGCGCATCCAGGTCAATTTCTTTGTCAGGGACTCCACACCTCGGCTTGTTCATCGCCACCTTGGTTGCTGCATCAAACACACCTGTGGCAGGCAGACCGGAAACCCTCTGAAACTCTTTAAGTGCTGAAATAAACGCAAGGCTTTTGGTTAGACTATTGTGGTCGTCGTAATCGCCGTCCTTAAGAGCATCCCTTGAGTGATGCACTGAGGTTCCTTCCTGGATCATATCTTGAAGGTTATCCAAAAAGTCATCGTTAAAAGAGACATCTGAATCTTCAAACTGTATCTCCTCCCAGTTCACCGGCTTAATGAATCCATATCTAGAGAGAAATAACTAGAACAAGATATGGGTACATCAGATGACTCCTATAAACAATCATGTCTAATCTAATAAATGCTGGAGTACCAAAATCAGAGGAATATAATAATAGTAGGATATTTACCTCTGCTGTGAACTTGTCGGTTATGACCTCAGCGTGGTGAGAAGTAAGGGTCTCTATATCAGAATGATCCCGATTATGGAAAAGTTTCTCCGCATCAGCTGAGCTAATGCTCGTCCAAAGAGGCAAAATCATCAGCTGGATAAAAGTCAGCATCGTGGCGTTGGCTTACTCATGTAACTGTCTACAAGTAAGTTTGAAGCCACAGTGCTTTATAGGCACATCCTGAGTTTCTCCACACCCATCACAAGGTGTGACTCTCTAGAGGTGTCCCACTTTCCTCAGCTTTGTGTGAAAGGTAAACCTGTGTTTACTGTCTCAAACAGCTCAATATGACTGAATGGAATGGATGTGTTATACATGCTCCATTGGTTTTAAATGGGCTTCTGTTGATGTGTGGAGAGAGGTTTAAATCTTTACTTTCATGTGGACAATAACAGTTTCCTGCCAACACCTGTTTCGAATAGCACACACACACACACACACACACACACACACACACACACACACACACACACACACACACACACACACACACACACACACACACACACACACACACACACACACACACACACACACACACACACACACCACACACACACACACACACACACACACAACACACACACACACACACACACACACACACACACACACACACACACACACACACACACACACACACACACACACACACACAAACACACACACACACCACACACACACACACACACACACACACCACACACACACACACACACACACACACACACACACACACACACACACACACACACACACACACACACACACACACACATTTACAATGAATAACCACTAAACAAACCTTCCATGGCATCACACTGATCAAAGTTTATTCCCAAGAACAAACACTAGATTGCCTTGCTTTAGCTTAAGATAAACACATACATATTATAATTACATTATCTTACATTTTATATGGCACACAAAGCTTATTTCTCCCTAGTGCAATTGACCTCATATACATTCAATCCTGGTAAAAGTAAAACAGACAAATAACAATAAATATAAATAATGCAGTATACAGAGAGAAGATAAAGAGGATGGATTTAAGTGCTGCTGCTGGCCTGTGGTTGGTCAATGTAGCGATGTGGCTATTGCTGCTGCCAGGTGTTCAGCTGTTGGCTGTTCTGCAGTACAGCTGACACACAGGCCTTCTGCTATCATGGCATCTTGGGTAGTAGGTCCAATGGCTGCAAACTGGAACAAATACGTTTAAATGACTGTCAGAGGCACTGAAGATCTATAAAAACACTACAGATAAATGCAATAGTTGATGTGCATATGAGGAAGCTGCACCTTTATTTGAGGCAGCTGTTCACCTGACAGCCGCCGTACAACTTCCAGGGAAAACTTCACTCCCGATGGACTGAAGAAAGCGATGCTTGCTGGAGCGCCCTGTAAAAGCAGAATATAAACATTTGCTACATTTAAAACATTTTTAATTTTAATTGCAGAAGGAGGAGGGGTTTACCTGCTCCGTGAAATAGTTCTTTAGATTTTTCTCCAGATCTGGATGTTCAGCTGTTTGATAGACAGTCAGCGTCTCTAGGGACACGCCTGGAAACAAAAGAAACCGATCCCCACAGTGATAGAGGTAGCACAATTATTATTTTATAATTAGTGAAGCCCCAATGGGACTTCTATCACCTTGAAGCTTGCACTTGGGGCTTACCATTTTCCCTCAAAGCCGTGGGCAACACTTCTCTTTTAATCGAGCCACAGGGGAAGAAAAGTGGTGGAATATTTCTGTCCTCTCCTATGATGAGAATCAGGTATAAGGTTATATGAGTTATTGGAACAATCGTGTATTTCCTATTGAAATGAACTGTATCGAATATGGGAGTATAAAGTAATGTGTTTACGTTCAATGATAAGACGTGATAGGACATCTGCTGTCCCTGTGTCCTCGCCCAAAGGGTTCAGACCCAGATTCCGTACTGTGTAGCAAAAAAAGGATTAGAATTATATTTTAGGATATGGACTGTTGATATCAGCAATACATCAGTAAAATGTTTTATTGTTATTTAAGTTAATTTCTCAACTCTGACAACAAAGAGATGAAGTGTCACTGAAGAAACAAGGTAAAGCAAACATCAGGAAGGTGCTACACCTTGCAGCAAACTGTCACTTGTGTACAACCTATTTCCAAATAACTGAAGGTAGTAACATCACTTCACACAGCTCTGTCAACACCAGGTGCCTGCCACACTTTGCTGGAATCACCATTCACTTAGCAAGGGTTAAAAAAAGCAACAATTCCAAAGAAAATGTTTTATATACGACAACAATTTACCTAATGCAGCAGTTGCCCTTCCGACGACATATATGGACTTGCTGTTCCATTTCTCTTTCACAGAGCTGTTCCATTCTAGAGTTATAATAAAAACAATGATAACATTTAAAACACTTTTTTTTTAAATCTCATTTAGCAGTACAGAAACAAATTACGCATAATTGATAGACATTTAAGTAAACACATGCTTTCAGGGGATCATTTGAATATGTTACAGGTTACAACATTTATATATATTTAAAGGAAATTCGTTAATATGCTCTCACCTTCCCTTCTTTCTTCTGCTTCCAAGCACATCTTCACTGCCTCCACTGCTCTTGGACTGGTAAATATAAGACCTCCATGTTTTTCTGGTTGGAAAAGCTGACATAGGAAGATATATTGAACAACAGATACAGAATACAAAACTGTATGTTCTATACACAAACAAAACCCATTTTAATCCAATACTGTGACATCAGAATGTACCTTATCCGACAAGGTGTTTAATGAGACAAACTTAAAAGACAGCACAGGAATTAGGGTTGCTTTATGTCCATGTGACGCCAGCTCCTGTGAAATCAAAATAGGGAAGTCCTGTTCAAATGTGCATTAAAATGCAGAGGAGTACTGTCACTGCTGCTAAAAATACTTAATATGAATGCAGTGCTGTTAGAAACATGTGCATCTACCTGAATGTAAGGATCAGGTCCAGACTCTTCATCTCTTGGCTCCTTCAGGAGCAGCACCTGCATCTTAACGAAGACCCAAAAACGCTGAATCAATCAAATAAATTGGGAGGAATGCAAGATAACAAAACCAGGTTAAAAAGGAATTCAGCCAAAGTCAGAACCTCAAGACTGCCACAACACTGAGGACAGAGGGTGTGAAGTCACAACAAGCTAAGCTACACCCCAAAACGGTCATATGCAACCTGCTGATAACAGAAATGTTTAGTCACGATTAATGGACTGTGTGCATGAGGATCAAACTAATGCAACAGTGCCACACTTCCATCATGCATTTAACGGTAGTAACTATGTAGCATTAGCCAAATCGTGTGTTATTGTTTACATTAGCAAGACAAAATTACAGTTTAACTAGGTATTAACCGTTTCCTAAATGTAACCCAGCTGCTGATAAGTGGCTAAATATCTTGCTTTTGAGGTACATGTATATGAATTACAACGTTTATAGTATAAACTACAACATAATTACCTTGAGTTGTCCCCACAGCTGAGTATTACGACAGTCAGGCACTTTCAAGAAGGGGAGAAATAACATTCAATATCTGACTAACCTGCCATACAAATAAAATAAATTGTGAAAAAATATTATTTAGAACCATACAAATCAAATATTATCAACTAAACTCGTAATAGCACTTCCTATGTGTAACGGAAACAATAGTTTAGGCACCCTTTAAATAACTAATATCACCTTTTGATATAGTGGTTTATTCCATTTCCGCAACAAGCAAATATGGAGCCATGATGGCGGCTTGGGGCTTTCAGTTTCCTGCTTATAATGCACTTTAACCTTTTCCCCGCCCACTTAGTTGACACGCGTTCTCTGTTTTTGCGAGCATGGCTTCTTCAGCTAAGAGGAGAGCAGTAGGTTTGAGTGAAAATCACGGGGAAACTGAAAACAGCTCCGATGAAAATTCAGAGGAGGCTGGTGATTCCAGGGATGAAGACAGCGAGGCATCAGAGGAGGAGATCAACGAGGTAAAGCAACAACCACGTCTTTAAAAAGCCGTGATGTGCACGGCCTTGCTAGCCAGCGAGTTAGCTACAAGCTAACTCAGCTGTCAGCACATGTTAACACAGTGAGCCACTTTAGCTATATTTGTTATTGTTTTCAGGCAGGATTAAAACGTGTAACATTACTTCGCTATTTAAACGGGAATTGTATACTTTAGTAGCTTATTATCGTTAGTTTGAAAATGTTCAATACAAAGTGCACGACAAAAACCTGTTTGAAATTAAATAAATGTTACTCTCATTCATTCGAAAGTACCTGAAACAACTACTCGGAAAAACGTAACAAAAGTAAATGAAGTGACTACTTCAGTCAGGTTAGGTTGTGCTAACTACTCTGTGTTTTGTTTATGTTTCGCTTGCAGGAGGTCATGGTGGACTTCGAAGCTCACAACATTACAGCGAACGACTTCGACGGCGTCAAGAACCTCCTTCAACAGGTTTGAGAAAACACTTCTGTTTTGCATCTAAATCTTAAAGTGAATATGTTGTGTTATATTTTAGCATGGGCTCACGTGTATTTTGTTTGGATATAGCTGTTCCTGAAGGCTCATGTAAATACATCAGAGATGACAGACCTCATCATTCAACAGAATCATGTTGGAAGTGTCATCAAGGTGAGTTGCTCCATAGTTACAAGTCAAGTCAGATCTACCAGGGGACTATTCTGGACTTTTAGCCCTAACATGTATTCACTCGTCCTTTCCCTTTTCTTCAGCAAGCTGAGGTGCCAGAAGACAGCGATGATGAAGACTCAGATCAAGTGTTTGGCTTCATCAGTATGCTCAACCTTACAGAGAGAAAGGTAACATCCCTGGCACTAACCTTACAGAATAATTGGCTTTCTGGCACTCTGATTTTGTAGGAAATTAACATGTTTCTTCATTGGCAGGATGTGCAATGTGTGGAGGAGGTGAAGGAACTGATCGTGGATCAGTGTGAGAAGAGCTCTACCCCCAGCATGACAGAAGAGATCGAGCTGATCCTCAATGACCCCAGCAAGCCTGTGGGGCTACTGCTGAGCGAGCGCTTCATCAACGTGCCCCCCCAGATCGCACTGCCACTACACAAACAGCTCCAGTGAGTTCTGCTCGGTCCTAAATGACCTGATGGTGCTTTGTAAAGGAACACAAATTACACTTTTAAGATGTGTTAGTTATATGAATGCATGTAAAACTTAGAATAGAGTATATGAAGGGTAGAACAATCTTACTTTTTTCAAGGTCAAAACTAAATCAGTCTTTTGAAAGTATTTTCATATAAGAAACTAAACCAGAGATGGCAAAAGTAAACACATCCTTCACTCAAGTAGAAGCACAGATACTAGTGTTTAAAAAATACTTGGGTAAGTAGAAGTTCTGACTAAACCTCTTTACTCAAGTAAAAGTAAATAAGCATGGGCTTCGAAACATACTTAAGTAAAAAGTACCCATAACTACCAACAGTTTTAAAGAGTAACTGACCTCACTTTATATAAATAGAACAATAATGTCATTGTTAGCTAATGAATGTTTCCATGCTGAACAACGGCAAAATGACAGTTTTCATTGGTCCCTCTTCTTTAGAGAAGACCAGGAAATGATGGATACACGGATCGTGTTCAAATCAATAGGCACGCAATGACTCTAAATAATAATGATCACGCCACCAAACGCAGATTAAAACTAAAGGAACCAGCCTGTTTGGAAAATGTAAGAAGTAGAAAGTACAGGTATTAGTGTTAAAAGCAGTGTTGTGCTAGTTACTGAAAACCAGTAACTAGTTACCATTACTAGTTACTTCATTTCTAAAGTAACTCAGTTACTTTACTTGTTACTTACACCAAAAAGTAATGCGTTACTGCGAAAAGTAACGTTTTCGTTACTTAAAAAAAGGGGTCCCATTAATGCCCTTATATCCTTAATTTCAGTACTGTTATTGCATTGGAGAATAATACAATCTGTTGATCAACTTGACATGCATTATATGCAATCTGGATTGCATCGATATTAGCTGGCTTTCCATTTTTGTATATTCTTTCTCCAGGTAGTTGGAAAACGTTTTCCTTCCCATTTGCCGTGTGCCGCCCGGACATGGTATCATGCTAACTAGCTCCCTGAAAGCGGGTGACTCCACTGTAGCAATAGCCTGCATGTGTTCTACAACATACCGTGCAATGGCTTTATCGACTTTTCCCTGGCTAGCAGTCCCTTGGTTAAAATCCAGCCGCTGTTGCTTAGGTGGAGGTGGAGTGGCGTCGGCTGAGTCTCTGTGGTCTTAGCTACTAGCTTCGTCCCAGCATGTTGTTTTTGCAGATGTTTTAAGAGATTTGAATTGCTGGTTTGGGCAGTAGATAGGATCTTTGACCCGCCAAGACACAACTTACATTTAACTAAAACGTTCTTTTCTTTGTGCTCGACAAAAGTGAAATAGTGAGAATATTTCCAGGTGGAGAAACTAGACTTGAGCTCCGCCGCCGCCATGATAGTCTTGTTAGTAAACAACACACACACGCCCACAGCCCGTCTCTCCGCATGTGACACAGGAAGTATCTAAGTACTGTACTTAAGTACAGTTCTCATCTCTGTTCGCCTGGCTGTTGACTATATAAAAAAACTAACGGAGTAACGCACCATGTAGTAACGGTAACTGAGTTACTGAATTTAAAAAGTAATGCGTTAGAGTACTAGTTACTGCCAAAAATAACGGCGTTACAGTAACGCGTTAGTCCCAACACTGGTTAAAAATGTAAGAAGTAAAAGTAAAAAGTCATCAGAATAAGTAGTGGAGTAAAGTACTCATACTACTTAAGTACAGTAACGAAGTATTTGAGTCGAGTCGAATAATCGATTATTATTCGCCAGGGCTGTCCGATTTTCGATTTTGATCATGGTCAGATTCTGGCATCCCTACTTTCCACCTCTGAACTAAACTAATATATTTGTTCTGCTTCCAGGGAAGAACTAGCTGAAGCTCAGAGGACTAATATGCCCAGTGGGAAGTGTCACTATTGTCTGATGATCAGCAAGACCTGCAAAGAAGTGAGCAAGAGTGTCCCAGCCAGAGGAGCAGCTCCCAAAGATGAATACTTGTTCGTCAATGCAGAGGAGGAATTCTTCTTTGAGGTAATGCATGAGATGCTCACAAAATGTTTTATGACATGCAGTATCTGGATAACACTTCAATTGAATATTTTATTGTTGTACAATGAGCTAAAACTATGTATTTTGACTTTCAAGTCTCCAGAGATGTTGGATTTAAATAATGACTTGTATTGTCCTTACAGCAAGCTATCATACAGTTCCACTACTCGGTCCAGGAAGAGACAGACTCGTGTTTGAGCGGCAGGTGGTCGTTCGATGATGTTCCCATGAAACCGTTCAGGACGGTGATGCTGATCCCAGCCGACAGAATGCCTGCTATCATGGCAAAACTCAAAGAATACCTAACTGTGTGAACCTTACAATAAACTAAAACACCTTTTCATACTCATGGAAATGGTTGTACTTGTATACCCTTGTAACAGAAAATGTTTTGTAATGTCAGCTACAATAGTGCATGTCACATTTTTACATTTCTGGTTTTTAAGATACCTTGCTTATACTGCAGCAGTATACACCCAATATATCATGTGAATATGAATAGAAATACAAGTCATGTTTTTTAGACTTGTTTATAAGAATGAACCAAGATAAATGTGATGTGTTATGTTCAACACAATAGTGAATGTGAGCTTGAAGTCAAATTACTGAATGGTTAATTCTACATTAACCAAATTGATAAAACACCTATATTTCCCTTAACATAACCTGGTAAATGATTTTCAAAAATTTGATTGTTGACAAAAGAATTATGCATTGTTAATTAGTAAAACGGCAGCAAAATCCTAAATTTGAGTTTACAGTGATTTTGTATCCCAGTATATCGTAGCTACTGTTTATTAATAAATCCGTTGTAGATCAACATGCCTTGACAATCGTGTGCTTTCTTAAACTGGCAGCATGTCAACTCATACATCATGATTCAGTTTCAAAACCAGACCCCTATGAGAAAGACAGCTTTGCATTAAAAAAAGGGAAAATGTGAACAGGCGGTGGGATGGGAGAATTAAATTACAGAATAGATAACAACCCATAACAGCAGTCAGGATACTGCATTTCCAGATGCTAGCACTCAGGAAAAAGGGATTTACTGGCACAATAAGACGAAAACAATCTTATTGGACCACAAATAATAAACCGGCTCATGATTAACATTATTTTGCAACATGCTCTCATGACGAGAGCCAAACTTATTTGCTCGCCATGTCTAACCATCAAACAACCTTTAGGCAAAGTAATAACTTATTATTACAGTCAATGGTTTGTATCGACAAAAACAATTAACATTTGGTGACAGGATTATAGTCCATTTTTTGATTTCAGATCATTGAATGACACATCTGTCATAAGTCTGCGACCCGATTCCACAGCCACTTTCGTCCTGGTTGCTCACTGGGATGTCTTTTTGTTTCTCTTCACATTTTCTGGATGCGTCTGGGTCCAACATGTCCTGCAGTATGTCCTTGCTTTCACTAGGGGGCAGGTTGTAGAAGAAGTACAGGGGTGCCATTTGAATGTACCTAAAATGAAAATGAATAGAGTGATACTTTTTCATATAAAAAACCACAGAACTTTAGCAGAGATTTTAAGAGGATTAAAACAGATTGAAAATGTGACCAAATGGCTTAGTTTGACTGTAACAACAAAAACAATCACAACATGTTCGTCTCCCCAGTGTGGTGTGTGAAAACATAATCCAGTAGAAATCAATTATAATCTGCTTGCACGACATATATTTTAGTGAGCTAAAAAAGGGATTGGCTTACACTTGAGGGGAAATTTCACACACGGTTCTCATGCAGTTGTTCTCCGACAGGGTGTACTCGTGGAAAACTACCCACTCTGGCAGCCCCTGCTTGTGCGACTGAGCCCCGTAGCAGGACAGCGGGTGCACCTGAGCCATGTGCTTGTGTGTCAGAATGAAGTAGTTCCCTGATCCGTCCACGTCCCGAGCGATCTACAAAAAAGGACGCAGCAATCTTAAATACTGGTGAATCACTGGAGGTGAATTCCTTAATATTGATTTTCTAAAATACCTGCATGAAGAACCCGGCCATCAGAGCTCTTTTGATGTTGTGTGTGTTGCTCTTGGTTCCAAAGCAGGGCTCAGAGATGGGAAGCTCGATCCTGTTCAGAGTGTCAGTCAACTCTGATCTAGTGGCCTCTGCTGTCTTCAGGGCGGAATGATCCAGGAAGTAATCCTGGCACCACTTTTGAGAAGTGAAGTCTGGGAAAAAAATGCATCACATACAATAACAGTGTTTTAGTCAAGCCATAAAAACAAGGCTCACAGTGGAACTTACTGAAAACCAGGGACGTGCACAGACACTTGGAGGGGCTATTGCTCTAAACTGGAAAAGGGCCTCCCCCCGAAAAAAAATATAAGACCAAAACGATTATTACATTAACTAATTTGAACAGTAATTCACAGCTAAGGCAACTACTTGCATTCGGTGAATTGATTTTTAAAATGAAAACCAGGGACATTTTTTGTTTTGCGGTCCATATCTCATCAACATATCTAATGTTAGAAACTACTAAAGAAAAATTGGGGACAATTCAATGTAGTTTGACCATTGCAGACATACTGATAAAATAGGGCTTCTATAATTACCTTAAATAAACTCACTAATGAATGAAACCAGTTCAATACGCATTATTCTTATTCTTTATGAGCGCAGTAACGGTAAGGTATCTAATTACTTATTTAGTATTCCATAACTTGATAACAGAGGTGGTCAAATTAAAGTAGAGACATGGCAGAAATCCTACAATGACGCTAGCGGGCAGTGAAGTGTTCTCTGAGAGAGGGCAATTAAGAGAAGAGAGTGAGCGGCCCCGTTGAGGGAGTTTACCATGCGGGCAATTACATGTGAGAAGAAGTAGTAGTAGAAAAATGAAGCTGGTGTGTTTCCCGCAGCAAGACACTACAATACTAATTGTGGGCTTATCATGTTGATTCGACTACAACAGAAAGAAAAAAAAACCTCTCGCTCTCTCCCCAAAAAGGGGAAACGGGCCGTTGCCCGGGCAACAATAGCCCGTACCTGTGCACGTCCCTGCTGAAAACTCATCAGGTCAGACTTCACCTTAGAGCATAACATAACTTATTTGGCACATTTGATGAAGTTGACATACTTGCACAATCCTTGCTATTCCTTTTGGTAAGAAATGCAAGCACTTTCAAATTGCCTCAGTGTATACATTGTCCTATGCTAACTTGTATTCGCATGACAGCACAAGGATCTATTTATCAAACATTCTTTTTTTTTTGGCAACAATGAAGGAAAGATTCAGAAACACTGCATTGAGGATGCATCAGTTTAAGAGAGTTGCAGCATGTTTTAAAATTGGACTGTATTTGCTGAGAGTGGATTGGTTCTGCCTCTCACAATGTTCTCTCTGGCTTTGTTTGAAGGCATTGTAGATGTTTATGAGGGTGAAGTGATCGCCCTCAGGGTGCTGGAACTTTCTGTGACACTGGGCTGCTTCGTGGGTCATGCCAGTAGGGGGCTCCACGAAGCAGCTTGGCGCTAGAAGACAAGGAAACAACGAGGTCACCATCACAGAGACACTTAGCAAAGAGCATCTGTTTCACTGTATGAAAACTGCAGCTACATCTGCAAATGAGATACTACAATAATGTCCAGATGCTGAATCCACACATCAATTATAGTCTTCACTTATTGGGAACAAATCTTATTTAAAATTGGAAAGTTGGATCACATGGCATTTACCTGACAGCATCGCTGCGATGGTCAACATCTCGCTCACACAGTCAAACTCGCAGGATGCCAGCAGCGCTTTGGCCATCTGAGGGTCCAGAGGGATTTCAGACATTATGATGCCGATCTCAGATAAATTGCCATCATCATCTAGAGCTGCTAGATAATCCAGCTCCTCCAACGCCTGCATGAGACCCTCAGGATCTGCAACAGGGGACCAGACAGATACATTAGTTGTATAAATCCAAAAAGTGCAAAATCGTAAGTGTTACAAAATTGTCTTATCTCTTTTTCTTTCATGTTCGGTATATGGAACTATTGATTTTTAGGGCAACATCACTAATACTTCAAAGGAGTAGTTCAAATATAAAATAATAAGTATAGGAATAGGAAGTTGGGATGTATGTAGCATCATTTTGTCTCCACCAGTCTTTTCTAACCAGTAATATCTATGCATGCTATCTATAAAAACAGCCAGACTCCATTGACAAATACAATTTCTTTACATCACAGAACAAGCTAGTTGGTGATCCACTGCTGCTTAGATGAGTTCGTTTTTTTGTGTAATTGTGAGACTTTGATGGATCCAAACTAACCTTTAAATGACCATAGTCACACAATAACACTAACTAACAAATCGAAGCCACAGTAGATGAGCAACTTCAATGTTCTGCAGGTATCTTCTACTTCAGTTCCTCTTGCAAAAAAGGTTTTTGACTGTAAACATTTTCTAAATACAACATACACATGAACAAATTCAGATTTATTTTAGGTGGCTACAATAGGGTTTACTACTGCTCCATCTTCTTACTTTTGCCTTTTTCTCCTAACTGGGGGTGGGACGGCGGATAACCTCATACGGCCCCGCTTGAACCATCCTGTACTGCCCCTTTACAGCCACTGTAAACCATTTCATCTAACCTTTCTACACCCACTCACTTATCACAAACAATAAGGTTGCTCTTATCACAAACAATAACTTCACTTAGTGGCTTTAAGCTTTCAAAATCCCATATATCTCTTGCAAAAGACACCAGTAATATATGCATATGAGGGAAAGTAACTTCTGTGCCACATTGTACAAGACTTTGGAAATACTACAGTATATTTGGCTTGTTCTTCCTCTTCATTGTACTCGTGTCTTGCTGCTAACGAGACATGCTGTATGATCGTTAATGAGCTGGCCTCTCTCGGCATGTTCTGTTCGTGTTAGGGCTGGTTAGAGCGCAGACAATAGTTAGTAGCAGGGTACTGTCAGCTCAGCTCAATCATGGCTGACCAGGCCCAAACAGCTACACTGAGCAAATTCATTTGTGCTTCCACTAGCCAAAAAATGACCCCTCCCTCATACACCTCTCTGGCTGTGTTTTAGGCTGGGAGAGAGATGCTGTCTGTGGGAACCAGTAGGCAGAGAATACAAATGCTTGTTCACTGATGTGTGCTAGCAGGCTATGTCACCTGGTCTGTCGATGAAATCACACTGTCCAAGGCCGGCGATCTCCATCCTTTTTAGGAACAGGACTGTCGGTGAGATGTTGGACTCCAAAATCTGTGGGGCTTTCTCTGCAGGAAGCTCGCTGTCTTCTTGATATAGGCAGAAACATTTACCTAGGGAACACATGGAACTTAGTGCAATAAAGACATTTTGATTTTATTTAAGTTATTTGATTGAACTCTGATGTTGCTCCTTCAGCTTTATTAAGATAAGATAAGTACTATTGATCCCAATTTGGGAATTTTTTTGCGCTGCAGCAGCATAAAAAGACAAGGCATTGTACATTAGAGAAATTCAAAGACTAGAAAAAAACAATCCAAAAAAGTCTCAAAAAGAATTTAAATGGCATTAAAAAAAAGTTTAAAATATACATGTGGAAATACAAATGTACAGTAACAAAATATAAGCAGGATATTATATATACATTAATTGGGCAAGGAATGGATTATTACATATTAAATTGAATATGTAAAATGTACAGTGTGATTTGAAGACCAGTTATCAGAGAGTTCTCTGCCAACCATTATAGTCGAGATTTCAGGTGGTTTTATCACTTGGAAACATCAGCAATAAACTAATTTTGACCTTTTAAAATTACCTGTTGGTCCAGACAGCTGCTTGCGTGTGTCTGCCTGACATTGACTGATGGGTTGCAGGACCTCTGAGTTAGCTCTTATTCTTGGATTATACACCTGTAAAATGTCAAACCACATGCCACATTAACATCAGCATACATACACAGTATAGGTCAATTAAGGTTGATAAGTTGTGTTAGGAAAACACATACCATTTTTTTCTGGACTCCTGTGTCAATGACAAAGTTGACAGACTCTGCGGCCCACCACATATCCTCCCCCTGTGTGGTAGAGAGGAAGACCCTCCTGGACTTCTTGGAGTCCGGTTGGTCAGAGAGGGCAGTAGGTAGCCCAACCCGGCCCGGGCACAGGACCACAGGCACCATCCGGCCCAGCTCCGCCCCCAGCCTGGTGCCCTCTCTCCGCAGGATGCTGTGGGCACAGTTAACCTCCTGCAGACGAAAGTAAATTCCTTAACCCATAAGTACCCAGACCCATTTCTACTTTTGTGAAAATTAAGAGGAACATAATTTAGACTAAATAGACCACATAGAACATATGTATGACAAGTAACCCCCCCTAGTGTCAGAGATCTGAAAAGTTACATATATGTCACATTGGGCATTCATGGTAAAGTAATTCGTATTAAGAATTTGGTTTAAAATTCTTTGAATTGAGGAATATAGAATATATTAACTAAATATCATTGAATCAGCTAAATTAACTGAGCAGATCATATTTCTAATTGTGACATATACGTCACTCTAGATTTTCTGAGAAATTGTAAGGTTAATGTTCCGATGTGAAATTAATGTCACAGCGATATTTATCCTATTTGTTTCATATCAATTTGATCAAGAAATGTTTTCACAACAGGTTATATGTAAAGGACATGTTATGTAAGCATTATAGTTCTTAAATGGCTGGAATCCTTTAGCAACAAAAAACAAGCTTTTGAAATGGTGGCTAGTTCTGTCACATGTACTAGCATGGCACATGGATATCTTGGACATGTTGTTATGGGAACACAAAATCACATGACCTGGCCCATGATGACCCACTAGACTGTTCAGTGTCACTTAGGGACTTCATGAGATAAAATAAAGGGTTCTTATGGGCCGATCTCAGCTTTGGTCCAGGTAAACCACTACTAAAAAAACGCAACAGTGTCTTACCTCAGCTGAGGCGAAAAACACAACAACATCCCCTTCCTCTTTGGTTCGATGGATCTCCAGCACCAGCCTCAGTGCTGGGAAGAAATAGTCTTTGTTGCCGCTGTGGCTGTGCACCGCCTCAGCAGGGGACGGGGGCTCCAGGCTGAGGAGGGGGATGCTGTGGTAGTGGCTCAGCAGCTTGTTGGTGAAAGGCGGGATGGCCAGCAGCACCACTCTGAGCTCAGGCCTCTGCAGCAGGATGTCCTTCAGGAGGCCCAGCAGTATGTCTGTGCTCACTGTCCTCTCGTGGGCCTGGTCGATGATGATGACCCCGTAGTGCTCCAGGAAGGGGTCCGACATCATCTCTCTCAGCAGCATGTCGTCCGTGCAGTACCTGAGAGAAGCCGTCAGAGGTGTTAAAGGAATACATGACGCAAAACCTTATGTGTAAAAATGACTCAACCTCGTTTTTTTGTGGGTGAAGTATTCCTTTAATATTATAAAGCAATACAATATAACTTTTTCTTAACAGCAGCGACAACGTTTGGCAGCTTCAAGATGATAACTACATTTCATCCATGTTTAGGATCAACGTCAAAGGAATGATTAGAGAGGGAGAGATAGTTTGTGGATGATATTAAACAGATTGAGAGCTTATGAACAGACCTCAGAACAGTATCAGAGGAGCAGCAGGTCTCCAGAGGGATGGTGTATCCCACCTCGTGACCTATGTTGACGTCCATTTCATCTGCCACCCGTAAGGCCAGATCTACAGCCTGCTGTCTGCTGGTCTGAGTGCACACAACCATGCCATGCTGGTACTGGGCAGACAGACAGAACTCTGCACACCACTGAGGGATCTGAAAGAGAGTTATCACTAAATGTCGTTTTCATCGTTCATTTTTGACAGTGCTTTAAAGTTCTCCATCTTACAGAACATGTTCTATTCACATAGTCACTTTTTCAAGGCAAGCCTGAGGTTAAGTTGCACCAACAGCTAAAACAAACAGTGACAGGAGATATCCTATGGTGTTATCGCTCATAATGCAAAATTGCTTTGGCAGCATGAGGCGGATCAGGGCTTAGCAGCAGGAGGTCCCCTAACACCCTGCTGGAGCCTTTGTGAAGCATGGCTGTCAGGCAGACTGACAGTGACACAACAGCATCTGCTGAGCTGGGCAGCATTCACACGCTCACATAATGGTCCTCTTTGCATGTAAAAATGGGGGTAACAAAAATGCACACAACTGGAATCTTAAATATGTCAAAGTGGGAAGTTTGTGCTAGATACATATGGTTACGCTGGGCAGAATTTTCTTTTTAATTAAATCAAGGGGAGCAGACATGTCACATTTGTTTTACACTGAATAGGCTGGACAAAAAAACAAGTAACGTCACATAAATTGGGTTATGCTGTGGTATTTGGGCATAGTCTGAAGGAAGTCAACATGTAGTCCCTGAGTGGAGAAAAGTAAAAGGGAGAGCACTGTTCCTGAACTCTAATATGCCCCAAGGTCATAAAGAAGCTAGACAGTCTGATTCCATGTGACTATGTAGGGAAACAAAATCTGACTAATGCCTTTGAATATAAACTGAATGAATCTCTCTAAAAAAACACTTTTTAATTCTCTTTCCTTATCATGCATATCAATGTGCATATTCTTACCTGTGTGCCCCTCCCAGTCTTTGCAGTCCCGGACACAATAACCAGTTGGTTGTTTACCAGAGCATCTTCAAACTCGCACCTGACCCTCCACACTGGCAGAGTCTTCCTCTCTTTCAGTAGTTCGTAGTAACGCGAGGAAAAGGGCAATCCATCGAACCGATTTAACTCCAGATCATCTCCAAAGCCAAATGAATCTTCGGCAGCACATTCCTCACTTTCAGGGCAAATGTTTGACTCCGCTGAATTATTTTCATCCGACATGACACATATGTATTTGTCAATTCAGACGAGAGCTGACAAAGGTTTTTCCTACCATTTCAACTATCGATCCATTTCGTTTTTTAAATGTGATATACTCAAAAAAAACGTCCACTCGATCGATACCTTACAATTGATCTTGTATTCCCAAACTTGGACAGATCAGGTGAATCTCTAAACTCGGTTTCTTAATTTCTAAAAGTATATTTATTTAAGCTGTTAAAGTTTGATGTTGCTCTGCTTGAGGCTGGCAGACACGCAGTGCGCACCGGCTTGTAATTTCTCCCAGCGTGGCTGCACACGTGTTTTGATTTGCACAGGGCTTCATTATTCACAACAATCACGTGTGAATGACCCATGAAATGATGACTTTAATGTTCCCTTATAACAAATCCAAACATCCTTTATCATATCTTCCTTTACTCGTTTTATGATTAAAATAATAACAAATAATGTTTCAGCTACTTAATAATGTATGTGCAATAAAAACAGGATTTAAATCTTATGGAATATGAATATTCATAATCAATAAAAAAGTTCACCATGCAAGGCTTGCCCTCTCTTGATTAATACACAATACATACCTATTAAAAATTGCTTAATGTTAAGTAGGATATCTCAAGCCATAAATATGACACACTATCTAACTTGTTAACGTTTTATTCACGTGTTGTGAATCTTTTTTTTTTTTTTTTTTTACAATTCTGTGATTTTAAAACCCTAAAAAGTACCCTTTTGAGCTACGATTGTATATCAGAAAATACAAAACTATTAAAAATACTTTTTCAACAACGCAGTACAACCATGAGTACAACACTAACCATCAGCAGGCTGCAGCTTGTCCACACGATGGAGCCGTTTAGTCCTTATCTGTCCAATGCCACACATGGTGAGTTTAATTGAGTTATCCTAAACTTTCTAAATATTGAATTAGATTTGTTCAGATACTTAACTAGCCTATTTGGCTCTACTCTCTGTAAACATATAGCGTACTTGTCTGATATTAAAGCATACAAATATATGTAAATGACTTAATTATGCTTTAAGCCTTCAGCCCTAAACAAAATTAAGGCTATGGCATCCCAGCCTGCTCCCCTTTTTTGACAAATATAATCTGTCTGGAGTTGCAACTTTTTAACAAGAGGATTTTGGGTCCGTTTTTACGAGATCATCATTCACAAGGTGTGTCCTTCCTTGCATGTGGAGCTTCTTAGATTTCTCATTAGCAATTAGATTGTTGTCCTGTAGCCTACTTTTTTCTGAACATCCTTTCACACACACTTGACTCCAGCAGGTCAGCAGCAGAGAGTCCTGATGGGCAGCAGTGAACACAAAATCTAATATTGATTGAAGCAGTATTTGGATCACTTACAAAGACCTCAGCAAATTGCTTTTGACTGTTTCAAATGAGCTTTGAATGTCAGTGCCAAATGGGAAAAAGCTTGTAACCTTTCTGAAAATAAGTATGTAAATATGTAGTTTTGTTACATGACACAAACATCAAACACAAAAACGTTCTCAAGTGTTTGAAAAACTGTTTTACTAATACTGCATGAGTGTTCAAATTACCACAACCAGATACATAGTGTGTTTTCTTTACATAGAATGTATCAAACAATCATTATAAAAAAAACATTCTCCATGGAAATGTGTTCACCTGTAACACAACATACGAGAAACATATGGACTTAACATACATTCAGGTGACAGGACTTAAATACTGCCTACATGGACACATAGCATTGAAAAAGCAAAAGTAAACAAAGCACCGAGTTTAAGTGCATTATTTAAAAAAAATAGCAGTATCAAAAGTAAGAAAAGTTCAAAGTCTATTTAAGCCTACATATTTGTGAACAAGAGCTGTGCTTAAAGGAAAAGTTGCTCAGTGTGAATGTATACATGCAGCGCTGCAATTCAATAAAATAATAATCCTGCAAAAATGATGAAAGACTGTTCAATCACTCAAAATACAGTTTATGTAGGATTGTATATTCGGCATGTAGATTGTTTAAAAAAAACCTCATCTTAATAGCCAAATTAAAAAAGTACAAAATATAGAAAAATGCCACGTTACTTTAGATGAAACGTAACTTCAGTGGCAGAAAGAAATCAAGACATGTGTCCTTGTTAACTCGACTTTACCCCGTTACAATAAAATCATGATTTGTAATCCACACCTCAGTGCCTCCAAGACTCCTCCGTGGCCTCAGCTTTAAGAAAGTCCTTCACTCAGAGTCCTCGTGTAGACAGGCACACAGGGAAACTCTTAAAAACACACACATGACCTTAAGCAGGGCAATATCTCTGAGACGATTACTCCCTCTGAGGAAAAAATGCTTCCTTGATCTCGCTCTTTTGGATCCGTGTTCAGTCCATACCTCAGTACCCAGATCCTTTGAGTGAGCCTCCTGGGTCTTGTTAAAAAAAAAAGAAAATGGCGAAGTGACAGTTTCCCAAATCCACTTGTTACCTTTCCCGAAATATAAATGCAGAGGAGACAGACTTGGAATTCAGCTGTCTATTGAAAAAAAAATCAGCCCTTTCTCCCCAGAACACATTGCTGTAACATCGCTTTTTCTTTTTCTGCAGTTGTTTCAAGCCTTATCAAAACGGTGAGCATTGCTCTTCAAGAAAAGCCCACCTGCGTTTTAAATGAACTAGAAGTGTTTTTGTTCATCATTGCACAATACTCCTTTTCCAATTCTACCTGTAGTTTACAGATCAAAACCATCATGTAAAAGGTTCCCTTCATTAAAACACATTTAATAAAATCATCTCTGCAATCAGAATATCACATATTGGATTCGATTTCCAAGACCTTTCCGTGACTGCCCTTTTAAAAAAAAGGTGAAACTGATGCAAACGACAAATAATTTTTTTTTGCTACCGTGTAGTAAAAGTGTCTGGCACAGTGCACTGCGTGGCAATAAATACACAATATAAATACTTTACATGTACCTGAGCTCAGACTCGTAGCACCATTCAGGGACAGAGCACCAAAAGGGACGCGGCAGACCTCCTGATTCAAAACTCAGAGAAGCCGCCATCTTTTTTTTTTAAGGATTTCAGAGTTTTCATAGTGCAAATTCTTTAAGTGTCTTATCACAACATTGTCCCATCCCGGCGAAAGTCTCAGCTGCTCTATTTGACGTTGGCAATGATGCAAGGCTTTGGTAGTGTTGGAGGCTGCTTGGGACTGGGTCTAAAAGAAGGAGAAAACAATTTGTTAAAATAATGTTTTAGTGAGTGTGGCAGCTTCAGCAGTGTGTTTACTGTTTACATATATCTTGTGACGGTTGGAGTTTATTTAGTATTTATTAGTACATTTATTGAACATGTTAGAAACAAAACAAACAATAATAATAATTATAATTATTAAAAAAAAAAGAAAAACGATCAAGGTATACACATTTAAAAAGAAAATAGTTTTTCTGTCATGTTCAAAAGGGGCAAGAAGAAGTTTAAAAACCTTTCTGGTCCTACCCCTTCTAGCGTACATTCTTCATGAAAATCAAAGTTTAGGTCATCGTCATCCGTGATATTTGATTCATTGTTTTAAACAAATCATTTTTCTTGTACCAAAAAAACAACAACAAAAAATGACTTTTACAACGACAAGAAATAGCAAGCAGCACCACTTCACAGGTCCTGACCATAACCATTCACGATTTGGATTCCAAATAATAGTTTTAGTTTAGATAAAGTTGCGCAGTATTTCAGCTCATCATTACAGTTATTCCACAGATGAACACCTTTTGCTTTGATGCAATGAAGGTTTAAAAAAAAAAAAACATTATGAGGTAATTGTTGATTTGCGACTTTAAACATAATTTGGATAGTTTTTAAAGTCAACCAGGTCTTGTAGTTTTAGTGTTTTTAGTTTGATAAATAATGTATTTGTTGGTAGTAATATGTATAATTCCTATGGCTCTTTCACCTGTTGGGATGTGGGATAGGCCGCAAAGGTCTGGGTACACCAGGTATTGGTGCCGGGCCACAAACAGCCGAGGCCCCCCGCATTACAGAGGGACCTCGCACCACACGAGCGCTCCTAGGATCGGCCGGAAGGGGTTTCTGAGGAGGACTGGGCTTCTCCAACTCCTGAAAAAGAACAGAAACAAACAAATAATACAGAGACTCTCCACCAGGTGGCACTCACAGCTCAGGCCTGTTGAAGAGTCCTCCTCTCAACTCTCCGTGAGAGGAAGAGTCATGTGGTTTTAATCTTCTCCTGAGGACTGAGATCATGATACAGGCCTGCTACCTTGCCCCCCATCTGTTCTCCATTCACTTCTTCCTCCTTGGTTGAAGAGAAACCTCCCCAAACATCACAGAGAAGAAAGAGCCAAACAACCGAACCTCAGACCTCACTCACCCGTGGAATGAGGTTTGCCAATTCAAAACACCATTCCTTTAAAGTTAAAATTAACTCTCTGTCTGTAATGAAGGATATGTATCTCCTTTTCATCCATAAGGCCACATCATGACAATCTGCTCTATTGAAGAACCGCTGCTAATTCATCTCATTGACAGGCCAGTACTCTCATGCAATGGGGACTCCATCCAAAAAAGTAACAAATGCTGGTAAAGTGAAAATACAGGCAAATAAAAAAAAAAAGCATGTCTGATACGGTGATTGAAAGGCACAAGATGTTAATTCTCACAAACCCCAGTCTAAAAAGCTACATCAGGTGAAACTCTCCCTTTGGACAATTCTTCCATGCCCCCAGCAGAGAGCTTTCACTCTGGGAGAAAGAAAAAAAGAAGCTTTATCAACATCTGGGAGCTGCCAAACAGCTGCTAAAGATACTGTCGGGGAAGTCTGCTGCCAACAGGCATCACTTTGAGTTTCATACTTTGACATTAAATAGGAACAGCTGAGAGGAAAGATCTTCTTCCTGAAGTCAAAACAGTGCCACGAGCTGTAGCACTTTACCTGTTATAAGGGCGCATGACAGCTACGAAGCTTTGTCTAATAAATGGAGTTCTTCAATGGCTCTTGAAGATGTATATTTTATATACTTTATTATACACTTTTTGAAAACACCTTCACTAGAGCTGTAGCTGTAGTGTTTGATCATTAAAGAGGCCCTTTATGCTTTTGGGGGTTTTCCTGTAGTGTGTCATATAGGTTTTTGTGCATGTAAATGGTCTACAAAGGCTCCAATCCCAATGTTCCCTCCAGAGTTTCTCTCCGACACACTCCTGCCTGAAAAACCTCCATTGGACTCCTTTGTTTACTTCTGTAACATAATGACATCACTATGTAACACTTGCGCTTTTACTGGACATCGTTCCAACACATTGTACGTGATAGGCTAAGGGCAGGACATCTATAAGCGATTGACCAATCCCAACAGAGCCAGCCAGCTAACCAATCAGAGCAGACTAGGATCTGGTTTCAGACAGAGGGTGAAAAGAGGTGCTGCAGCACAGGCAGTGTGAGAAAAATAAAGAGATTTTTGGACATTAAACAATGTACAAATGTCACAGATAGCAAATATGAACCTGAAATTGACATTATAGGGACCCTTTAATTTACGTCGTTGTGCGATCGTTACAATATCAGTGCAAACTAAAGGTGTCATTCTGTGAGGCTTTTTACAGAGTACTGATTTATTGCATCATATGCTGTCGTTACATTTATGAGCTCAAGAACAATGTTGTGCTTTAAAAAGGCAGAACTCCTTTGCGACCCCTCCATTAATCTGTGCAAGACCTGAATGTAATTTTCCGTTTAACTCAGCGCTAATTAGCCTGACACTGGTGTGGCGTCTCTTTGACCTCAGCTCCCCTGTGGCATCATTTACAGAGCTGTCTTTAGAGGCTGTTTACTGTCAGCTACTGCCAGGATTTGTTTCAGGCTTCAACGATGATTTCTCAGCCACATCTCGTCCTTTTCTCGATCCCTCCCTCAATTTTAATTTTACTTATTCGCAATAACTGTGCTGTAACAAATAATCATTACTATTAATTATCATTAGTGATTCGTTTCTCAAACAAAATGTAAGGTAATTATTAAGGTTATTCCAGTTTGTTTTAGTTCGATTTTAAGAGTTTGAACCATGTTTTGATGATTATAATGCAATTATTTTGTCCGGGAAAATGGTGATTTGATATCATCCTTTGCTTTTAACAGACACTCCAAAACGAAAAAAGCAAATCCACTCATTTGTGAGACTGGACTCAGTATATGATTTGGTTCTCTTGTGAAATGTGATTAATCGACTCGTTCCTTTGTCTCTTGATCACTTTGTCTTTCTGTCTTTTGGATCGTCTCTTATAGCTGTCTCTGCCTCACTTTCCCACAGGGTACAAGTCAAACAGGATTAAAGCGAATAAGAGTCTTTGAGAATCACTGAATGAGAGAGATTTAACACCGGGAACTTCTGGCTTTCTCTTCCCCTCAACTTTGACAGCCTGCAATGCCATAACTAAACTCCATGGAATACCAGTGGCAGCACATTTACCACCCTGTGCTATTTGGACATACTGTTTTATCTTGTCTGTCTTCCCCCCTCTGTACGTCTGGCTCTATTTTGTATTATTTATGTGGTGGTTTGAATTGTAGAATTGAAGTCTCGCTCCGATGACGCTACCTCTTCGGCTAAACTGGTTATTTTATGAGACTGTACATAACTGTCTCCATGCATATACTTTTATAGGACGCAGAAGAACCATTAAACTGGTCGACATGGTGACACCCGTCTGAAGGTGCAATGAACAACATCATTTCTCTGGTTAGGTATTATGGGCTGTCGTTGGTACAGATTACAGTGAGAAACATCGTCAAATAAAATGTTTCCAAGTGAAGGAACGAGGCAGTCACTCACCATGACCATCCTGCAAGAGTTATGGCGTGACGCGCTGCGAAACGACGCCCCCCTCGGTGCCACGTGGATGTGAGGGGGGGGGCAGGGGCGGTCTAGGCAGTGCGGGGCCGGGGGAGAGGGTCAGGGTGAGAGGCAGAGGGACAGGGTGGCTGAGGTGAACCGGGGGGCACTGGGGCAGTCTGCGCAGGCTGTGGGAGGGGTAGGGGGGCGGTGGGGGCCCCGCCTCTGGACCCCGGTGTGGAAGCTGCAGAAAGATGAAAGAAAAAACCAGAAGAGTCAAAAAAAAGATGCTTTGAGTAAAAGAGAGAGTGTCTGCTTCCTATCAGAAACATGTCATGTTAACCTCCTCCTCTTCCTCTGCCGGTCTTCCTGATGCTGTCAAAGATGTGTATAAATCAAACGCTCCCACTTGCCTGCTCAATATTCCCCAACTCCTCTTCAGGTAACCTATCATAGGAAAAACCAATACTGGGCCAGAAGCACAGACTTGGTCTCATTCAAAAGGTGGACATAGCTAAAGAGCCCACACACACTCCGTTTTCTGAGACACATCAGACATAGAATAGAGCCAAAATATGAGTCTGCCTAGTATTTGGAGCCTGCCAGATGTGCACAACTCAAAAAAACACACAATGTAACATATAAAAAGCACGCACACATCCTCTCATGCAGCGGTTTAACACAGCTCCCGACAACTGGAAAATGACCTCACCTGCACTGTGCTCACATCAAACAGCCTTACATCCTTTCTCCTCTTACCGTTGACCCCAAATGAAAACCACATGCTGCTAACTGAAATCTCACGGTAATGTGCAACAGCTCGCCTCGCTCATGTGCCACCCTGCAGCACAAATGTCAATTCTGACACGGCCCCTCTTATTCCAGCACCCCCTAACGCCATCGATCACAGGTCTCTTCCCATTACAAAGCGTGTCAGCGCAGTAATGGAGTAGTTAGGGCATTCCGTGATCTGGACACAAAAGTCATTACAGCAAAGAATTCCTGCTCTGTCAGGCAATTATCAGTAACAGGATGACTTTATACCTCAAGTAAGCCGCCGCATCTACATTCGTTCATTTAGGAAACGCACAGATAAATCAATTTCCCTCTTAACAGGCAGCTGTTAATGACAAGAAATGTATTGTGGACACACTGCTCTCAACAGACTCTCCAGCTCCTCCACATAAAGCGAGATGATTTAATTGGATTTGAATGAGCTGCCATTTGTGGGAAAACAACATGTCAATCCTGATGAGAGTTGTTTGTGCTCACTAAACAGCCAGGGCATTTTAGGAAGAATATTCCACAGCCTGTATCATCTGTGAAGATACTGTAACTCCACCTGCAAAAGATCTCCATCTGTGTGTATGTAATGAGCCTGTCAAGAAAAGACGTTTGATTTAGTGACCTTGAAGACGATGGCCGTGTGAGGGAGGGGCGGGGCCGGACGCGATGGAGACGCCGTGCTCAGCGACGGAGGCTGGTTCGGAGAGGAGGGTCTGCTGATTGCAGCGCTCACTGATCTGGAATTTTAAGAGGAAATGATACATCTCTGATTATACACTGTACTCTATTAATCATGCATCAGTTACAACGGTAATATGTTTCAAATTACGAAATCAAATCAATTATACACAGCAATTGTCCTTACAGTGTGACCAATTGTGAGGATGATCCCACCCAGCAGCACCTGACACAGATGTATGCTGCTATGAATGCTATGATTAAAAGGTATGATGATTACAAATGATTGAATTATGATGGTATTAAAAAAACAAACACCTGAGCTTCTCAATTGGGTTCTTTTTACTGGTGGAGAGCAGTCCCAGTACTGTTTTCCTCTTGATGCAGATGATCAGACCGGCCCCCAGCACAATGAGGAGAGCCACCAGGATGCCCACTGTCAGACCCCCACTGTCTGCTCAGAAACACACAGGAAATCACCGTCAGTAAGGTAAAACTCAACGCCAATATGTCTGCAGAACTGTATTTCAATTATTTATGTGTTACCGGAAGCTGTCAGCAAAATGTTGTGTTTTTTCCTACCACAAAACACAGGCTTTTTGTAAGGAAAAAGTCTGAGTTTTGAGATGGAGAGGTGGAGAAATCTATAGTTTTAGGGCTTGTTGAAATGCTCATACATGCAATGCTCAAGACATATAACATAACATGACCTCACCTACAATAAATAAGCCATTTGTTGTAATTGAGTTGTTGACTTACTTGCTAACCTGATGGGGCCACTGTCCAAACTGCCCCCAAAACCAGCCTTGTCACAGAAGGGAGGTGCCCAGTGAGCCTCACAGTGACAGTTCTTGTTGTTGTTGCACACCTGAAGAAAACCAAAACGACATTTAATTGGGATATGAGCCCAAAATGCATTCAATATGATCCTTTTCTTTGTTTAGTACTTGTTTTCAGGTATTTGCATTAAAGGTTATCAGTGTTGTCCCTTGATACGTTCTTCCTTTCACATTTGTATATTCTGTAAATGATTAACTCCAAAGGGATACTAATGTACAAAAAGCTTCTTATACGTTTAGCTTAAAAGTAGTTTTCAGTCTGGGTTATTGTCTCAGCGCTAGATATCCCAGTCAACAAACACACATGATGATGCTCTGTGTGCTGCAGTCGACCACTGCTAGGATCCACATGGCAAAGATGTCTGCTTTTAAAACGAGTGCAGACTTTAAAACCATTTTTTTTCTCTGCCTCAGTTCTTCCCGTCCTGCAGAGTGGAATAATGGTTCTGTCTAAGAGGATTCCCCAGCAGGGTAATATGGAGCAGGTGAGGGCCTCTTTCCAAGGCAACATCTTGATCTAATCCGAGCCTGAAGGGGTGCTGTGTCTCCTCGAGGAGTAAAACAGTCCTTGGAGCTTTATAGAAATGTCTTAATTGGAACTAGACAAACAAATATGGCCCTATACTATCTGTAGATTAATTTTAAGAGACTGTAAAAACTGCTTCCTGTGCAGCTTTGATGCAACTTCAGTAAGAGTTAAAGCCTCTGGGATCAACCTTGACTTTAAGGACCATATATGTTATCTCAAACGGGACCACCCATAGAATTTGATGGGTGGCATTTTATAAAAATCCAATATCCATGCTCCCCCGCTGAAAGTCAAACTGCGTGTCATTGCCCCGAGCGTTTATCCAAATAAAGCTTGGCCTTCAGATTTCAACACAGTTTTTGAGACAAGGACGACTGCCTTAGAGTATGATGAATGGCACTTAAATCTGAGCACAAATGAAGCCATTATATCTAATTGATTGAACCTTTCAACAACCAGCATGATTGATGGCAAGGCATTGTAATGGCGCCCTACCCACCATATACTGGGCATTTTGAACATATTACAGCCAAAATGGGCTGCCGTGTGAAGGAGGAATGGGTTATTAGGATAACAACTAATCTGTGGGGGGGGGGGCTGGTTTTAGATTGACAGCTATCACATTAGGACCTCACATTACTGAAGAACAATGAATGGTGCTGGACTCACCCCTTGACCGCTGCACTTGGCTGAGCAATCGTGCCCGCCAAAGACGCTGACGTTCTGGCACTGACGATTCAGACACATCTGAAGTAGACAAAGATATACAAACATTGACAGTGTGAGTTCAGCAAGGAAAGATCTTTAATATTCTAAACCCTTTAATCTTTTAAAGGGAAAAGATCAACAAATCCAGCTTTCTTCTTTCAATTTACAACTGACGAACCTCTTCAGCTAAGCAAAATGAAATATAATTAAAGGTCCCCTGGTATACTCTTTTTCATCAATATATTATAGTTCTAAGTTATATCCAAAACATTAGGGTGGTCCTTAGTTTTCATGACTAATAGAATGAATTCTGGGGGTTGGAGCTTAGAATTTCCGACTTTCAATTTTAAGGACCACCCTACAGAGGCTAAACTTCAAGGTTGATGAGGGAGGGGTAAATGTCACCAGGAGAGTTTTCTTGACTATCATAACAAATTCCGGTGGCTGGAGCTTAAAATAAATGAATTCGAAAATGTACATGGCACTAAGGACCACCCTACAAAACATGTCTCTGAAGTGTTTGGCTCGAAATACCAAACAGATCACCCATTGCAGCATCCCATAATCCCCTCTGTTTCAGTCCTGTTTAAAAAGTGCCAATTCTCTGTCTTTTACTTTAGATGAAAAATAAGGAGCCACTCCCCACGCCCCTCTGAGAGATATTTGGTTAAAACACAATGGTGCTCTAGGAGGAGATTCAGGTGATAAGGTGTGTGTGTGTGTGTGGGGGGGGGGGGGTTAGACAACCCAAAACAACGTTATGACATCATAAAGTGGCCAAAATCTGATCAGCTCATTTTCAGACAGGTTTTGATATAAATAGATCAGGACAAAAAGTGAGCGAATCTTTTTTCCTGAAACGTTCAGAATCTCTTTACACCGAGGGGACACATGTTTATGTATGAAAGACATGAACAAGTGGATTTTGCACAATAGGTGACCTTTAGGTGAATTGGGATTTTTCAAGAATGAATTTAAAAAGCTTCTCAAAAGTTGTATTATGTGGCTCCTTAAAGGCACCACGCCCAAATATATCCAGGCTGACTGTGAAGATGAACTTGGCATCATTGGGCACAGAGAGTTTTGCCAGAACCCTTGACAGATGACGGCAGATCCCATAGAGAAGTACAGTTAGACTAAATGGAGCCACTGCATCATTTAAGTGACCAATGTCTGAATTGATGACCACAGGAAGATGCCAAATAGACTGAAAAATGGTGAGTCAATTGAGTGTCTGAGGCTGTGTGAGTCTGAAATGACAAGATGACACACTCTGAAGAACCTCTTAAAAAGTCTTAGTCATGGACTGTCACTCCGCATCACTTTTTCCACTCTTATATCCCAGCTTTTGTGTTTTCACACAGACACTGTAGCTTACATTACTATAAGCGGTATTCAAATGCTTCACTTGAATGATATGTCTTCATGTGCACTTAATCAGATTTTGGTTTCTGTAATAGGTGGATTCTGCACTCGTTACTCTGTGCAAAATATGCATTCCAAAATAAATCCCTATTCCTGGTACTGTTCTGGAAATCCCTATTTCTGCCTGGTATTATTCCTACACTGAAGTAATTACTGCACCAGGAAACGAACAAAAGGAAAGTGATTTTCATGGTGAGTATAAAAAGGAGGAATGATAACGGAATGTCTTTTGAAGTACATTTGGGCAGGTTAGTATTGTATTACAATGGAGAACATATCCTTAACAAGTAGCAAATAAAAGCATAGAAGTTGAATTATTATTACTTGTTTTGATATCTTCCCACAACATTAGTCTTGTACTGTTTTATGTCTTATTGCAAAACAAAATTATGTTTTAGGATTGTGCTCTTTCTATAATTAACACTTATTTGCACCTTGTAAAGCATCTTGTAAACATGCTTTTTTAAAAAGTGTTATATACTGTATATAGTTATTATTTTTGTTATTCCCGGAAAATGTTCTAAATGTATCAATGGAATGGTATACATACAATTAACCCTTATGTATATATTTAAAAGAGGTTAATGTAGCAAAGTAAAAATATTAAGTAGTAGGCAGTGAAACAAGTACAAGTACCTTAATATTGTACTTAGATCCAGTACTTGTGGTTGAGTAAATGTACTCTGTTACTTTCCACCTGTGCTAATGAGTGTGTTACATGTCTGGCTGTATTTAACGGTTACAGGCCTCAGCTCTCACCAGTCCGTTTCCACACTTGGTGCCCGTCAGCACGAGGCCGGGGTCGGGCATGTCATCACCCAAGTAGACGTGCGTGCCTCGGCACAGTATCCTACCCCCTTCCTGCATGGGGATGTTTGTCTCTATGGAAACAGCGTTGGTACCAATTACTGGGCGGTTAGCTCCTCCTTGACACTGGATTTTGCCACATTTAGCATCTCTGTAAACAGAACGAGCAACAGGGAGAATAACAATGTGATAATTTAATAACATGTCACTGTTTTCCCAAAAGTGTAGATATGCAATTACTCTCTATTTCCATCTATTTCTCTCACTGTTGCTGTCCAATTAGGGAAAGAGCCAAAAAAGACAGCTTGTTTATGATGTTTCAGACCACAACCTGAAAGATTTTGACTGCATTTCACCAGGTTACTCTTCAACCTTCAGTTAAGTCTGCAACTAATGAGTATTTCTATAGTTTAACATGTCAGTTTTTATTTTTTAATCAATAGTTTAGTCTGTGGAATGTCAGAGAAAATATGAGGAAGGCAGATCTCAAGCTGCAGTAGCCCGATGTAACATCTTCAAAATATTTATTTTGTGAGTTTAACAGTAATAGAAAGAAAAAGAAAATGGAGAAAATGCAGGAAATTCAGGTGGTTCAGTTGTGGAGAAGGGTAACTACAGCATATGCCCTCATACAATTAAATGCATTTGTTTGTTTCCATGGAAACGTCAGATCTTACCGTGCTTCACATTTGCTAAAGGAGCCTTTAGAGTCCTTGCCACAGTTGCCGTAGGGGTCCCCCGCTGAGTTAACCCTTTCAAAGCAAATGCCAGGAGCTGCCTTTGCTCCTACGACACAAAATGAAACATGAAGGAGCTGGCCACCATCACTGAACAACTCAAAGACGAAGAGCAAGCTGAAGGGGACTGTTGCACACACCTGGGCCCCACAGAGTGATGCATTGCTGCTCGTGGGTCTGGCAGATGCCGTTATAACAGTATCCGTCCAGGCTGTGGCAGGCGTGGCCGTCATGCAGGTAGACGTTGGAAGGGCAGTGGGGGCTGATGCCGGTGCAGAACTCAGGAAGATCACAAGCGTTGCTGGATTCACGGCATGGAGTTCCTGCTGGCTTTAGCTACACACAGATGTTGAAAACAAGACATAGACACAGAGTGAAGGTTAGATAAATTATGTGTTTTGCTTGATGGCAGTAAAGAGTGAAGTCCTTCCTTCCTGTAGCGGTCAGACTATATAACGACCACGGCCCCTGGTAGACCCCCTCACACACAACAACACAGACTATGCTAGTTTAAAGTTTCCAAGGCTGTTATTGTCATTTGTACATAGTGTAGATATGTCAATGAAAATCTTAGGTCACAGGCTCCTCCAACAGGGAAACACAATAAAACAGTAAAGTAAATACAAATCAAATAGAATAAACACCCCTTGCTGTGAAATATAAATTGTGCCGTATAAATATGCCGTTAATAACTTTGTAATATATACCTGGCTGCTATATCTTCAGAACTGTTACAGGATGTGTATTTTGTTAATTCTTTTATTTTTTTTTATCTTTAATTTTTTTTGTATGCATGCTTCCTAGTTAACATTAAGCTGTGTTTGGCTCTTTCCTGCTGTAACAAATGTACATTTCCCCTCTGTGGGACGAATAAAGGTATTCTGATTCTGAGTGTCATGCCTGGCTAATCGGGCCACATCCTACCTGACAATCTTGGCAGCATTGTCCGTGCGCACAAACGGCATCCCCCTTCAGAGTGCAGGTAGTAGCATTGCAGCAGGGATTCATACATTCCTGCAAATGGAAATAGAAGAAGGCAAGCGCAGAAATGGGATGAAAGTGAGGGGGAACAAAAGTAAAGAAGAATTAGCACAAAGAGATCATATTTCACCTCAGAGCATATTCTCACACGTTGTTATCAGAGGGGATGCAGTGCTAGCAGGACTGGATTCTGTACCAACTTAGTACCCTTGTCGAGGAAAGGCAACAGCAGTTTCTAGTTTCTTAAAAACAACAGTGTATCCATCTGACAGGAATTACAAGCCCATTTAGAGCCCTGGAACCATGAGCTGGATGGCAAAGGAAATAGAAAAATGGGGAGAAAAACAAAAGAAGGACACAGAAAAGGAAAATGTCTTACAAATAAGCGAAATATTGGGTGAAAGTTCCAGTGTGTGGGATTTAGTGGCAACATGTGTGATGGCTCAGTCTAAGCAAACAAAAACACAACAATTATAAGATTAAGGGGACTTAACCCTAGAAAACCTTGTTTTGACATTTCATTTATATTCTTAAATCCTCCATCCGTTTTGCAGCCAGGAATCAAACCCATACATGCTTCTCTGTAATAGCAGTCTGCTACGTTCAACCCATCAGTGAGACACACACTATATCTGTGCATCCCTTTAACATTTCCCAATTCTCCATGGAGACCCATCTGTTTCATGTTGGCCTTTTATTTACCATGAGCGATACCCTGTACCAATCAGCAACTCTCTGCCTTCTGATACAGATTAAAGAAAGTATTCAACCAAAGCTCAGCTCATAAGATGTGTCTGCGTGTCTGTTTGTGCATGTAAGATCTCACACACAGGCAGGCTGACGGGATCCTCGGGGGTCATCTCTCTCCCTACAGGCACTAGGCAGCAGTCTGAGCACACTGTTCAGCTATAAAGAGGAAGTGGATGGCCGGAGCTGGCAGGGGACACAGCTGACATGATGGGCCTTCCTAGAACTTCTTTCAGCCTGAAAACTATTAAGGGCCTTTCCCATGGTCCCAGGGGCCAAAGGAGGCGTAGGAGTCATGCTGAAAAGAAGTTGCCTGTGATTGTGATGAAAAGGACCAAGGCTTTTTAATGAGGCTTTTTAATGGAGGAGAGAAATGCTGTCTGAGCGCTCTGATCTGGCCTGGGTTGGCAGGATGCTGCTCAACTCTGTGGAGAGCTTTATTATCGCTGCTGGCTCAGTTCTGAGGGGCTTATGTCAGTTCTTTGTTTTGAAGGACAAGTCCACTTTCAAAACCCCCCGGCTGAAGCCTGAACAGAAAGACTCCGAAAAGGTGTAAACAAATCGTATGAGACAAGGCGTCCTCGCACTCAGGCTATTATATCATTCAAATATCTTTCCAAGTCATAATTGATGTCTCCTTCATATTTCATAATTCTGTTATTGTGAGCCTGCCTCTGCTGATTGTCAGCTGCTCCCTGATTAACTGTTTTATCATCCCACAGTCAGAGCAGTTAGCAATGTGTGCCACCATTACGTATGTGCATGCCAATGCAGATTCATTTAAATTATTCACCGGCTGACAGGGTGAGCTGTCAGCGATGTTTCCTCTCAGTGAATTGTATCACCATCAGACAACCATCCTCCCGAACACATCTTCAGTGCAGGGAATGAATACATTCACACTCATATCTCTGAGCTCTGAAGACTGTGTTTGAATTACGAGAGCTATGCGCTGTAAGCTTTGAAACCACGGTGAACAATTTTGTTTTACTATGGGAAATATTTGGTTTGTGCCATGCTTTTGTCAGTTACGCTAAAGAAACCCCTACTAGCGCTTCTGCTTATTTAATTTCTCAAATGGGGGTAACATAGTAACAAGGATTTATGGGTAGCAGTTAATACAGAGATTTCAATTTTGAAAGAAGGGGCGTAAAACCAGAATGCTGACTAATTGTCGGAGGTCTATATACAGTAGCACGCTCACCTCGAGTTCTCCACAGTCGCACTCCTCTCCCTCCTCCACGTAGCCGTTGCCACATTTCTGCCCGCCGTAGAGCACCTTGACCTCAGGCATGTTGAACAGACACATCCCGATGCCTTTTTCAAAACTGGCTGCCAGGTCTTTCTTGCTGCAGCTGCTGAACACTGTGGGGAACGGATACCTGTAAGGAAAAGAACAATTCTTTGTGAGTGATACAAACAAAGACAGAGTGGAGGAAGAAGATCGAAATCACCCACCAGGGTCCTCTTCAGTCTGATGTAATCAGTGCTAATTGCTGCTAATCACAAAATCAATTAACCACAAGAGCTCAGCAACCTCTCCAGAGCTCCATTAGCATGCGAACAGCACAGGGGCTCGGTGACGTCTGCCTCCATGGAGAGAGGGAGATCTGATAAGGCATATTTTACAAGACAGGGGAACATAAAAAATCAAACCAAAATGTGCTTCCTTCTAGACTTGAAACACCTACATTTGGGAGAAACAGGGATGGGGTGTTTTTAATATTGTTTTTGGAGCGGACAGAGAGGGGGAAAAGCACACAGCCCAGGGCTCTGCCAAAAGCTTTGTTACAAACCTCCTGTGGCTTTATATCTCCGATAATATAGTGCCTTGGATAAGAGTGTGTGTGTCAAGTGAGCATGATATGTGCAGACACTATCTTTATTAAAAAAAGCACTATATTAGGTTTTAATACCTCCGTCTATACCATAAAAGCCCAATATGGCCAGAATGAGTCAATCTGTGAGTAATATATGTGCTCGTCTGGCACACGGATGAGTGCATGTATGACACACTATGTGGGGGATCCAGGTCAACTTAGCTGCGAAAATGTTTCTTTTTACATGCGCACCACATGCAATATATATGAGTCAAAATATGCAGACTCAGTAAAACCACATGTTTGTTCGAGAACATATGTAAGCATTAATTTTAATGATTTTGACTATAAAATGTGTCCATTTCAGAGTTGTATATAATTAAGAGCAGCAAGGAAAGTGCCAGAGTAAATCCAACACATTACCATGTATTGAGTGCATAATGTATTTAATGTATGTAGCAGGGGAAATGTTCTATTGAGCTTGCAAGGTTTTCTTGGTGTCTAGAAAATCACAGTGATGAAAGGACAGCAAACATGTCTGGTTGTAGCACAACTGTAAATGCCTCGACATCTTTCAATAAGCTCATTTGAAGAGCAGGTGTGCATAAGAACAATTCATGCACAGGCTGAGCTGCTGTGGCATCAAGGCGTCATATAACAGTCCTTGGCAGCCCAAATAAATGCAGCTCGATGAGGTTCTTCTACATGAGGTTAAATGTGCTGGAGTTGCCAATTTGTTTCCAGCTTCAAGGCTGAGCCTTAAAGTGAGGCCGATGGCTGTGTTGACGCAGAAGCAGTAAAATAACTACTTTATCTCCTTAGATTTTCAGCTTAGAGAAGGAGGCCTTTCTATGCGACTCAATATCGACAATACTTTCAAACTGTGTTTCTGTGATTGGGTTTCACATGCTAATACAGCTCTGAATATGTCATGACACTCTGTGAATGTTTTGACATGACCTCATTCTCGGCTTGCCTTTGATTTCCGTCATGTGTGGAGGAGGCTTACATCAACTCCTGCTGCTGACCCCCTCCCCAAACACACAACCGCCCGCTCTCTAACATCAATACTATTCAGAGGTTGTGTTAGGTGAAAATGGGGTACCTTGAAACAGATCTCTTTACACTCTGGACTAAAGCAAAATATCAGAGTAGATCTGTAATGACATGTAATGGCAAAAGGAAATACCAATAAGGAAAGCTGTAATAACAGCCATTATAACACCCTTCTTTTTTCTTCCCTCCCCGTTGAGCCTCTCAGGGGACCTTGCTATGATTAACAGCTGTCAAGGCTGGCAGACCAATTCCTTAGCAACCGCTGTTGTTGATTTCTTCCTTGCCCCCTAAGCCGAACCAAAATTGCCTGCTCTGGTTGCACACCCTGTTTTGCTAAATTCATTCAATTTCCATGAACTCAGCCCTGTTCTTCAGTTACCAGCCAATGCAAGCCATGACAAACACTCACATCACAGCTCACATCTCTGAGATGCATGAGCTCAGGATCCAGCTGTTCTTTATGAGACGCAATACAGAAATAATTGGTCTATCCTGCAACGGTGTGGGGGTGGGTGGAGGAATAATGGCTGTGGAAAGGAAGAGGCACCAATGAATTACAGTGGATGGCATTTAGCAGCTGCGGGCCCCCAGGGGAGGAAAAGCAGTGCCAGGGCAAATCACGGTGGGCACATCTGGAGCTCATAGCAGACTAAAGACCCTTTAGACAACAACTTGTCCCATAGGAGTCTACGCCACCACCGCAAGAGAAAAGACCCAGTGTGACCTTCCGGTTGGTTCAAATGTGGTTTGGGCTTCAGTAAGGACGAGTCTTGTTCACCTCCGTCTATTCTCTTTGTGTGCTCTTTGTTCTGTCCCACACTGTTGCATTGTTATCCACCGCCAATTCCATTATTGGGTAAATTTGTCTCTGTTCTTTGTGTTTTTCTTCTCTTCTCTTCTCTAACTTCAGTTTTTGACAGTTGGTTGCTAGGCTTCAGCGGCACTGCAGTTGATGGTTGATGGAGTGTACCATGCAATCACAGGATCTTAGCAACGGTCAGTTACCAGATAAGGCTTTAACAGACCTGTGGGAGGTCTGCTGATAAGGAATCATTCCCAGATATATTACAGGCCCCCCTTGATCTACCACACACTGTAATAATACTACAGTGCCAAAGGCTTTCAAACATCTAACAATTCAGCAGCTTCGACAAGGGGACAAATGACAGGGTAGAGAAGTAAAGTAAGACAGTACAAAGACACAAATCCGTATATAAAAGCACAACAAATTGATTAAATTGACTCTTGCAATTTACAATCAATGTCATTTAAAAACTAAAATAATGAATTAAAGACTTTTTCAACAGAGATCCTGTAAAGCAAGTGTGCCATTTAAAGGTCCCCTATTATACTGTTTTTCATCAATATATTATAGGTGTCAGATATACAGAACATGTCTCTGAAGTGTTTGACTCCATATATCAAACAGATCATTGCAGCATCCCATAATCCCCTCCGTTTCAGCCCTGTTTCAAAAGTTTCTGTGTCTGTTACTTTAGATGAAAATAAGGAGCCACTCCCCACGCCCCTCTGAGAGATATTTGGTTAAAAAGAACACAGTGGTGCTCTAGCAGGAGATTGATTGATCTTATCCAAATGCTTTTAGAGCTTCAGGATAAAAAAATAAAAATAAAATCAAAGCTGAAATGAAGCAAAAATGTAAGATGAAAGGGTTGCTCTTCTAAATCAAATGTAATGGGAGTTAGTTAAAGTGTTATTTTTCTCATCACTGTAGGCACAGTGATGAGAAAAATAACACTTAAATGTTGAAAGTCTTGTTTATATAGGATTTTAGTGCTCAATATGAACATATATTCAGACCTATTTTATTACCAATTACAATAATCATGAGGCAAAGTTGCAAATTAATATACAGAGCATTTTAACCCCAAATGTAGGTGGGCAGGGTGCACATTTGACTGTGGTTCAGATGATAGAGAATGCTGGGAAACTCATCCACCACATCCTGCACAGCCAGTTTATCACACCTGTCCATGACATATTGATCAGGCTATGAATAAGATCTGCCGGCCTTTTCAGTGACACATCTGCCAAAATATTTTTTTCCTTGAGAACATTGTTAAAAACACTGATCGTGACTATGTTTTTGTACTGCTATAACGGTTTTAATTTGCTTTGGTGGACTTTGATCTTCCAGCACAAATGTGAGCGAACGTTAATTCAAACCTGACTGTGACAACTGTAAGCATGACAAATACTTAATAGTTGCTTAAGTAATTCAAAACCATAGTTCCTTGACTACACATTTATTATTAATTTTACAGCCTCCTTTGAGCATGAAGAGCTTGAGCTTTGCCGATGACATTAGGTGATATGATCTGTTGTGGCCTTTGGAGCCTAGGAGTCTGGCCTATGTTGTAGATACTGAAGAGCCTTTTCACATTGATTTCCCTATGGACACAATTAAACAAGGCATAGAAGAGAGTTCCTGTTCTTGAGAGGGGCACGGGTCACATTTCCAAGACATGCCTTGGACCTTGGTTCAGTTTCTGTGATTTTGATTCTTGATTATTTTATAATAAGGGAAATATATCAATCTCTGTCTGATGGTGTTCATGCCCAGCATTCAAAATCTTACTAAGGTCTTCAACCCATGTGTGTGAACCCTGTCTTAATAATGCATCTTGGTATCTATCTGTCCATCAACATCTTGCAATGCAGCTTCATAACACGGATAAGTGCCTTTACAAAAAAAATATTTTACATTTAAATCAGAATGCAATTTGTACACTGAAAAGAAGAAAATGAATATATAAGTGTTATTGTTTTTAGATAGGCTCCCTTCTGACTGCTCACATGTCCATCTTCTCTAAATACCGTAAAACAGGCACGAATGTTGTTTCCTGACAATAAGTGTAAATAGTGACACTTTGGTTTTGTCAGTTTTGCCATTATTTGGCATTTTTAGAGCCATAGGCTAGAAAGGGGGGGGGGGGGGGGGGGGGCACTAAGGACTTGGCAATAACGTGGCATGTGCTGTAACCAACCGGTATTAAAGGCACTCCAATAACCACACCTTGTAATTGAAAGCTAAAGATGAACCAATAGTGGACCAAACATAGAGCCCTGTGGAGTTCCTGTTTTAGTATTTAAGAGAGAAGGACCTTTCTGAGTACCGTGCACTTATGTATGTCCTTCTTTCAATGGATTACCCTGTAGCAGTTCAGTTGATGTGTGTTCCTCTAAGTTATGTACTCAAAGGATAAGACTCCAGCCTGTTCTCATTTATCACTAATGGGGGGGGGGGGTGAATGGAGGAAGCGACAATTGTCCGTGACCAATGTGAGCAGGAAACAAGCAGTGCTCTGTGCAGATGTGCAGCTGGCTCTGGGACAGTTACAGTTTCACTGCCCCCCACCACCATGAACTGGATCCTATTATCTCCAGCAGTGAGGCCAGCAAAGCTTGATGGGTGTCTTTCTTAACAATGCACTGATGAAGACACTCTTGTGCTCTAGTTCAGTGCTTCTCAAAGTGTGGTCCGCGGACCACTGGTGGTCCGTGTGCGCCCCCTAGTGGTCCGTGAGTATATTGGTAACATTTCACATTTGAAATTAATTAATCAATTTAAGTTTTCCGCACTCTCGCGGGAATATCTCCGCAATGGAGCAAGGTTAAGTTTCACTTTTGATTGCAAGATATAGCCCAGCGCAACACCTTCATCACACATGTTGCCACTTGTTTGTACCATTTTCAGGCGATTTGTAATCTGTTCTAGAAAAACGATGTGGTTTTTGATATTTGTGGAGTTAGGTGGTCCGCGAGTGTTTTTTTATTGGTTAAGTGGTCCTTGGTATGAAAAAGTTTGAGAAACACTGTTCTAGTTGATTAAAATGAAAGTTCAATCAAAACAAAAAACCTCAAGGTACTCCTTGCTGAGTAAGTGTAGGCAAGTTATGCCAGTACTTTCAATTATTGAATTTAGGGGCTGGTTATCGACGGGCCTTTTGTACCAACTCATCCAACTCTTGGCCTTGTAGGCATTTTGTATAATCATATTGCGCTTTGAAAGAGCTGGTTGCCTGCCAAGGAAAACATGGCAGTCAATGCTATGAACACATAACTGTAGCTGATGAACAACATTCAGGTGACTGCAGTAGAGCCTGTGTGTGTGTGTGTGTGTGTGTGTGTGTGTGTGTGTGTGTGTGTGTGTGTGTGTGTGTGTGTGTGTGTGTGTGTGTGTGTGTGTGTGTGTGTGTGTGTGTGTGTGTGTGTGTGTGTGTGTGGCCACATTAGGTTTTAAAGCATTGAACTAGGAGGGGATTGAGTTGGACTCATGGGAGATGTAGTGCCGCCTCAGGCAGAGAGTGTATAGTCCTGACCTGGAATTAACTGAGGAAGCAGAATCAGGCAATAGAGTTCTTTAACATCCTTATTTAAATGTATTGCTTCCTTAATCCTGGATTAAATCACAGAGCAGCAATGTGGACGGATAAGGAGATGTTCAGGGGATTATTTTAAAACCAATGGCTAGATCATTTCTTTCTTTTGTCGGATGGAATAAAAAGCATTCTCTCCGTGGAGAGCAGAACAAAAAACTAAATATTCATGCATATTTCTTACCAGTCTATGTTTGGTAGAAATTACATTCTTTCACATTTAGAGAATTTCGCCATATACGTATGACTTCAGAATGAGATATTTTAAGGGAAATGTGTAGGCTTTCCCTACATACCACATGTATAATAGACAGTCTTTAATTATTTATTTGGAGCTAAAGAGAGATTATCCACCATTAAAGATGAATGTATTTCAAAGAATATAATCACTTTCTAACTTGCTGTGAATAAAGAGGAAAAGGAGAGGGCCAGTATTTCTAGCTTTTTTTACTAGTTCATGTTGTTGCCAATTTTAGGATAACATCATTGACCAAGGATACCCTCATCATTTGAGCTAATAATAATTCTACATTTTAGTGCTGTGTTGCTTTATGAGTCTATATTCAAGAATAGTGTAACCCTGTTTTTCAAACCAAACCAAATACAAAGGGATGTTTCCAACATAAACACCAATCTGTGTTTCCCACAGACCACAAGACCTTCGGCTTGAACTGATACCCAATGTTAACGCCTAACAAATCCCTATCCCACTGCTCGGTCTGACAAGATGTAAGTTATAATCATCCATAATTAACAAATATATGCTATTTTTTTACTACATGGTATAGCTCTGCTGAACTTAAATCCCTGTTGTTATCTGTTCTCACTTATTTTATTTAAGGCAGTAAAAACATTTGTTTATTTGCTTCTTGACAGAAGTTAAGGGTAAAATGTTTCACAGGAAATGCTTTTATTTTGAAGTGCAAGTATGTGTCCTGCTCTTACTCCTTCCTATTATGATATGGAAATGAATATGCATATGTTGAGTGCATTTTCCCGTTTCAAACACGTTCAGTTTGGACAAGATTAGCTTGGTTCTTTATTCGAAGCTTCTATTACACAACAGTATAAAAACAAGAGAGTCTGTACATCATAGTTTTGTGAGGTGCCATCATGGTTTTGTGGAGTGTTGTGAGTGAATTAAACAATTAAAATCCCAAATGACCATGGCTTTCCTATCTACAAATCGCACGCTTGTGCATGAAGTCCCATGAAGGAGGTGGCACTAAAAAAATAGCAAGTACTATCCACAACTTTTGCAAATTAAGAAATGTGCTCGTTCATGCAATGGAAGGGACAGCAGATGCCTAGTTTAGCTAAATTGTGTCAGAGTAAGTTAAATTGCATTGCTTTGGCCATGCACTGCGACTGAACCATTGGCTTCCCATCAGCATGAGTCATATTGCCTTAGGGCATTAGCACAGCTGTTGAATTTGCTATAAACCAAAATGGTCCAGCAGTTCAACAGCATTATTTGCTTACCGCTCGATAGACAATAAATTACAAATAGAGAGCATGTGGAATAATGTTTACATATGATCACAATCTGGACTCTTTTGAGCCACACTCGTCTCAATAAGTGACTGGATTAATGCAAACTTAATGATGGCTTGACATTACGATTGATGCATTTCAGATGGTTTTGGAATAAGACGTCATTTTTAAAGCCTAACCAAAAGCGGCCCCACTGGAGTGCACTGAAGCAGTGACTGATAGCATATGTCCTTAGGCTGATGAAGGCCAACTAGCTGAAATAATACTCCCGCAATCTAGGATATTGCAGAAGAGAGTAAGAAGTCAGCAATCCTAAAGATCGATTGACTCTTAATTGTTAAGGTGGAAGCTGTGACTCACCCGGTGGAGGGAGTCATGATGCATCCTCCACGGTCCACGGTCACCCTGCAGCCACACCCCCTCTCCGGGGTGTCATGGTTCATTCCAAAGTTGTGTCCAAGCTCGTGGGCCAGAGTGACTGCAGCGCCCAGGGGGTTGTCTGAATGGTCCTACAAAAGAAAAATATCAATCATGCAGAAATTTAACAAGACATTGCTTCTTAATAATTGTAATCTCTTCAATTTATGAGTCAGATGTATCATGTATAAACTGGACATGATACAAGCAACGTCTTTTAATGAAATGTGATCAGTAACTGCTCTGTAGCAAACAATAACTTATTAAAAACAGACCTCTCCGATTACATTCTATGAGGAAAGTAACAAATAACAAAAATGTAATGGTAGCCAAATGACTGTTACCCCCCAGGACCTACTGGAAAAACATGTCTCAAAACAAGTGAGTGTAATTGCAAAGTGCCAAGATTAAAAAACAACGCTGTTGGATCTGTGCTTATCAGAGCGTTTTCTCTGCTCGACGTTGTGGTACTGAAATGAGGAATAAAACGGCGGACTGCGGGCTGTCACCTTCAGCTTGCTCTGCAAACTTTGACCAAGCCAGATGTGCAGCTTCATCCACACAAAACTGGCAAAAAGTTAAAAGAAAAACTCTGCTTGAGGACAGCTTAAAAATCCCACAGCCAGCAAAGATAACAGAGAATTGAAAAAACACACAGTGCTAGAGGATGCACTGGGAAGATGAAGTTGTCACTGTGAAAGCTGTGTTGGTGGAGGTGCCGAGAGTTCCTGAAAGGTGTGTAAAACATGAACACATGAAGAGGCCGGATAAATAATGTAGCGCCATCCGCTATCAGCTCCTCATGCATGCAGCACTGTGCATCAGAGCACCTTGTCTCTGGAGTCTTCAGTCACTGTGCATTATTCAGTAGAGCTGTACAGTCTGATGAAATGCTCTGCTGGGGGCTTTTGACAGTAACGGTCATCAGCTGTCAGCACTCACCGGGTTTCAACTGCGCAGCCAAAAATCCATGAAAAGAAAACCCTCTAGTTCAGTTTCCAAAACACCTTTGCTGACTGATGAGGCTTGGGTGCTCAAGAGGGCACTACATGCCACTGTCTGCGTTCTGTTTCGCCACACCTCAGATTTGAATGTAACATTTGAGGCTGGTAAATGGATATTCCAGATGGTTCCAGAATGGATTTTTAAGATTGAACTGCTTAGAAAAATAACAAGGAGACCCATAGGGGATGTTGGCTAATGAGTTCAAAAGTACTTTGTAAGTTAGCGAGACAACTGAGACAACAGGGTTGTAGTTTGCCCACAGAAGAGTCTGCGGTTGGAGACTAATTCTTTACGTCCCTGATCTGATATATGTGGTATGTAGAGCTCTATCATAATGAGTAAGTCCCCACTTTAACATCTGCAAGGACAAGAGTGAAGAACCATCTGGGGACTTGCTGTGAAGCTTACCACCAGCCAGCCAGACAAACAGCCACTCAGGGACATGGAGTATAAAATAATAGCATGACTTGCACTAATACAACATGACATGGGCACATAGGGTTGCAGTTCTTTAATGGGTGATCATTTACAACATGCACCTACGTTTTCATTCGGAGATATGCAGTACCCTTAAATTCACTAATTTGTTGCACCTCATTAAGAAGCAATGGTTTCCACTCGTGTAATCGATATGCGCTTTGATTTTTCAGCGCTAAGTGGAGGGTGCTATGCATACTATTTTCCTGGGGAAAAAAGTCACAATGATGTGTGTGCCCTGTTAATACAAGTTAATATCAACTCTGGAATCCTTAGCTCAACCCTTACACAAGAGGCTCAGGGGAGAAATATGAGAGTATTATGTCAGGGAGGGGGGAGAACCAGGCAAAGAGCGGAGGGCAGGGGGAGGGAAATGATAAAATACGTCTGGTCTACTTTCTGGAAGTCAGAAACACACCAAATATGTATTTTGTACTCCTTTTGCTTCAGGATGGAATATTAGTTAGTACATTCAGTAGAGCATAGGTGTACGTACCATGACGATCCCCCCCGACTGCTCTGCTGTGCACATACTCATGATGGGTGCCATACCAATGGTGGTGCCCTGGAAATAGACCCCACTAAGGGGAAGACAACGACGGTCATCAGATCTTTGATACTTCAACTGTCAAGATAAATGCCCTCTGGAGGGTCTTTGACTTCTAATGCTGTGAACTATAGAGCAATGTTCAAGGGCTGTTATGCAAATGTTGAGTAGTAGTTGGGTTTTTTCATGACTAGCATGGTTTGGAATCGTTTCATTGGCTACTGACTAGGCCTGCACGCCAAATATCCGTAGGGGTTGCTTTGGGGTAAAGCGTAACGTTCTAGCAAAGTGGCGAGCAGACCAACCAACAGAAAGACAGACAAACTAAATAAAATGAAAAGTTTTGTCTATATTTGTATCTACATCTTTACCAGATAATAACAACTACACAATGTCATTTTAACAATAGAAAACCTTTTATTTTGTAAGCATCTTATGAAGCCTGGATTGGATAGGACTGGTTTAGAAATATTTTGGCAATTGTTTTATGAGGTAGGAAATCAGATTTGTTTTTCTTTCAACAAAACTGTGTGGTGTCTATGTTCCATCCACACTGCAGGGCACCTTTGAGGGTAGCTCAAAATAACAGCCACAACACAAGTTAATATTACAAAACATCACAGTCAATTTCGCTTCAAGTTAATGAAACCCAAAGACCGATCCAAAACAATTGCATTATTTGCTCTCAATCATTTGGAAATAATATCATCTATTTCAAATAGGGACTTTTAGAACGCAACTATCAAGTTGTAGCTACAACTGCAGATCTACCTGATCAGCTGGGCGTTGTCATGAGGCTTCTGAGGGAGCAGCTTGACCTTCCTCCAGTCTAGGAACTCATGCAAGGTGGTGAAGGGGTCCTGGGTTATGGGGCATTTGTCTACATCACTCCATACTTCCAGGCCCACCAGGGCCACGCGGATATTCAGAGCCCTGTAGAACTGAATGTTGAGGAGAGAGGGGGGAGGTAGAGAGAGACGTATTTGCAGGTTAAGGGCTTATGATCTGCCTCTCATAACATGTATGTTCTTCTCTTCACTGTACATTACTTATTTAAACAAAAATGCTATACAGAAGTTGCTTAAAAATTATGAGAGGCTCTGAACAAATCCTTAACCATTAATCTACGTATGACTTTCCGTATGAATGAATCATGTTTCTCTTCTGTTTTATTAAACCTCCACCCACGGAACGTATTATTACAGCGGCCTCTTCACAACATTTCTCAGCCGAGTTATGGAATTGATCGTCCATTCATAATCCAATCAGCCTCTGCTCGCAGGTCGGTTAATTCTCAACAGGCTTGATGTGACCTCTAATAAATCAGACGCTTACACCACATCCCCTCTGTTGATTTGATTGTTACCTTGTCCACGTAATTGGCGATCTCAGCCAGCCGCTGCTTGACCTTCTCCATGTCCTTGCCTTGCTTCTGAAACTGAACAACACAAACAGACAGAGTAAAGCAAGGAGAAAGAGAGGTGATCTGCCCTCTTGAATGTTTATTTCCATCAAAGACATTATTTGGGAAGTATATCAATACTGCATCGTATATCAACACTGCACTAGCTTTGGAAATGTCTTCACAGTGTCGTGTTGATTCCACTGCAGTTGCTATCATCAAAGAGCTCCTGAGTGGAGCTTCGGATTAAGAGATAACCTCAACCACCTTGTCTTTTATCCAGCATTCATTCACTTTCTGTGGCTCTGAAGCTTGTGATATTGACCTACACTTTCTTCTCTTTGCCCTTGATCTTAAGGCTGAGATTTTAGATAATAATTGAATGGTTCATTTATGAGTCATGTGGTCAAATTATGTATAAGGGAGTAGGACAGGCAAGCATATGAGTAAGTTGACACACTAAAGGCGAAACAATGTAAAGGTTGGAGTCATCTTATCTACGTCTCGAGGGGAATGAGGGTCAGCTAAGTAGGTGACCTCTGAGCTTTTTAGCTGAGGATATGGCTGGAGACGGTGAATAGTTCAGGAAGTTTTGACCTCTGCTTACCTCTCTGTTGTCAGCGACAATGATCAACTCCACATACTTGGTCGTAGTCTGGACGTGGCGTTTATGCTGCATGGGTGAGTGAAAGGAGAATAGGTGGTGACGAGGCAAGAATAAGCAATACATGTGGTAATGACAAAGTGATAAACCAAGAGATGAAGCGAGATAAAGAGGAAGAGAGAGAACAGAGAAAGAAGAAGAAGGACATTAGGAGGACACAGTTAACCGCAGCTCTCTGGAGAGGGCGGCTTAGATTTAGTAGGTGGCCACTCAATACACACTTTCCACTTAAGGCAGCAGACACAAGAATCACAAAGCAATCTGATACACCTCACAGTGACCCAATAAGGTCACAGGTTACTCTGACAACACAAATAAATCACTGTTTTTAGACAATGATGCCTGCACTGGATTGGCATTAAACAGTATAACCCCCCTGGCTTTTCTTTCTGAAATTAAAAGAGCATGTGACATGCTAAGTATTGATTTATATTACAACTCCACAATGACTCCATCAACTAACTAAAACAGTGGAGTATGGACTAATGAGAATGATATCCAAATATAAGAAGGCACATTCACACTTTTCTTAAATGGTAAAGGTTTTCAAATAACATTTGTTAGTGTACATTTATCTCTTTTGGTGTGGTCAAGGATCACAGTCCAAACTTTGAACAAAGAAGCAGGAATCAGGTGCAGAGAATTATAACCAAATCTTACATTCATTATTAGGGCAAAAGAGAAAAGTAGAAGATGTGTATCACAGAGGGAAATTCGTCCTTCGAACAATTAATGTCTGAACACAGACGAACAGACCAAGCTAAACGTCTAGCATGACTGAAAATAGGATGACTGAAAAAAGGTAAGAAACACATATTTTCATAAAAGAAGTTAAGGACAAAAAGAAAAGGGAGAACATGGAGATGATTGTTTTGAGGCTCTTTCAAACCGAGGCAAATACAACTCCTGTCCATGGAGCAGACGTTGCTCTCATGTTTCAGTTCACACACACACACACACACACACACACACACACACACACACACACACACACACACACACACACACACACACACACACACACACACACACACACACACACACACACACACACACACACACACACACACACACAACACACACACACACACACACACACACACACACACACCACACACACACACACACACACCACACACACACACACACACACACACACCTACACACACACACACACACACACACACACACACACACAACACACACACATCTACACACACACACACACACACACCACACACACACCTACACACACCCACATCACACACACACACCCACACACACACCACACCACACACACACACACACACACACACACAAAATCCTGCTGGCTGAGTGTTCTGCTATCACACTATGGCCCACTTTCAACCTGAGCCTCTTTATCCGTGCTGGCCTGGCAGCCTGGATCCTCTCCGCTCTTATCTGCCTCCTCCATAGATAAGCCAGGGTGGGCTAGTGTGATCCAATTGCACCCTATGGTGAAATCTCCAGGAGGCCACTGGAGAGGACACACACATGGACACTGTGTTCAATCAACCCATTGAAGAGCACAACTGTTCTTTAACAGATTAGTCAGAAGTAAACACGACATATTTCACATGACGTTTTATCCTTTGTCTCTCGATAAAAGTAATAATTGAAAATGAAAAACTGGTTTCTGGACTCAATTCAGTAGATATGTATAAATAAAATCGACTACTAATATATTCAATTATTTAACAGCTTCACTTCTACATAAATGGACAAAATGTTCTCCCCTCTTCTTCCCTCAGTCCCTGTTTCCCCTCCACTGCTAACTCAATATCACAGAATTAAGGTGAAGAAAGAGGCCGGTATTCTTTTACCATTTGTATGATGAAGAGAATTTAAGAACAAAGGCCAGCTTACCAGCATGAAAGCTTTCAAGCACATTGAACATTGTCTTCATTAAGCAAATGGAGCTGGCTCAGGTGTGGATGAAGATAAGAACGGTATAATGCAGCTTTCTGATTGGAGTCTTATCCCTGGGAACGTTTAGGCTGCAACGATTAGTCAACTAATAGCTGAGTCTATGATGTTAAAATGAATACATTAGAGGTTTGGACTTTAAACTATATTTTTCTGACATATTATACACCAGTCAATTTGCTGATGAATCTTGAAAACAATGAAGAGTTAATGGATAATACAAATATTGGTGACTTGCAGCCCTATATCTGTATTTAACCCTTAGTCAAAATGTTAATACATGTTCTGTTTAGGCGCTGTTGACGCCAATAGAGATTTGCAGGTACTCATGCGGTTGACGTGCACATCCTGTCAGCTAGCCATCATATCTCTCTCTTCCCTTCTCTACCCCATATGACTCTCATCATCCAGGGGCACTCTGCCAGCTCGCCTCTTTATCTTTAAACACTCAAGCAGGGCACAGCGCAGCTTATCAAAGCAGCAGCAGTACACCTTGCTGCCCTCATGTTAGGAGGTGAGTTTGCTTCTATGCCACCAAGTACAGCAAAGCACACTTTATATTCATACTGTTTTGTGTACTTTCTCTATGCTTCTAACAAGGCCTTTTGCTCCTCGGGTAAGAAGAAGTGACAATTTTTCAAAAGAATTCCTTGTGTGTTTTATATGTTTTCACTTTTTTAATCACCTGTGGGATTACTGTGTGTGTCCACCTCCCTTAAAAGCAGCATCTGTCTTCACTTAGAGATGTTTTCCCTGCTAACTCTGGCGTTTAGCTGGGTTAGGAGGGGTAGGGACATGATATTTCAAACTAATGGAAATTGAATCAGATAAAACATATTAAAGTATGATGAGTAAACCCTTATGAGTTATAATCAAATTATCTTTTTCACACTGGTGGAAATTAGCAATATGATCCTACTTGAGTCGCCTTTTCCCCTTCTGTCTCTGTCTTTAAAACCCTCTGCATTGTGCTGTTTTCTTTACTTGTGCTAAATCTTTGCAGCCCTCTTAACACAAAATTCAAATGCTGCTCATTGAAACCAGTTATATAATCATCAACAGGAATCAACAACTACAGTAAAACATCAGAACATCCCTATTACTTCATGAATAAATAAAACCTAACAATGTTATGTTTCAGCCAGCAAAGCCATGTGTTTGGCGTGCTTTCTGAAACAATACTCAATCTCAATATAACCTTAATGAAATGACTAAACAATTGCTACAATAAAAATCAGATTGAAGAAAAATGGAAAGTCCCTCATGCTGCATCACAATTATGGAATGTGTGCTTTTCCTCCTCGGAGAAACATCTGTTTCATCTTTTACCCCACCTATCTGTGCGTCTCCTGTGTTGACCTAATACATCAGCCATGTTCATCCACTCCTGCCATCCTTCAGCAGTCAGATAAAGATCACTGGAGTCTGTGTTTTCCACTTATCAACACTTGCCATCTTTAAAGGCCTGTTCCCTCTGAAGATAAAGAGTCTCTATGACCATGGCTCTTATGATTTATCTCTCCGCTCAGTGGGATAGTAAGGAGCTGAGTGTATGACGTGGGTCTGGTGGGGTTTTCTAAAAAGCAATCTGTTTGATTCTGGATGGACGGGTCCTGCTGAAGCCATGATGTACAAGCCTGATCTCTCTTTTCAGAGCAAATGGTGTCACTTAGCAGCCGATGCACTCTCCACAGGCGTTTATCAACCTGGGCTCTCAGTATACTGCGTGTCACTAATGGACAATGCTAGATCAGATGGAAAGAATGGGTGAATAATTCAACAAGTAGTAGCTTCTAAAATATATAACACACCACTTACCAATATCTACATTGCAAATGATCTCTCAAAGAGGGTTAAGGTGAGCAATCTTTTATATTGTGCGCAGTTGGAATTGAAGTACATGCTCCAACTATAAGAGTGCACTCAGTACAGAACATGTCTTCGCCAGGTGTGTTCCTCCCAAACAAAGGGGAGATGAATCCCTCTCAATTGTCTTGTTTTTAACTTAGCCAATATGTCTTTGCCTAACAAAACATTAGTTGATCATTTAAATCCCCTATGTCTGGTAAAGAAACAGTGAGGAGTCAATGTTGGTAGGCAATATCAAATTGAGCAAATTGAGACAGACAGACAGGTCACACACACACACACACACACACACACACACACACACACACACACACACACACACACACACACACACACACACACACACACACACACACACACACACACACACACACACACACACACACACACACACACACACACACACACACACACACACACACACACACACACACACACACACCACACACACACACACACACACACACACACACACACACACACACACACACACACACACACACACACACACACACACACACACACACACACACACACACACACACGTCACAGACTGGCGTGGATAATAAGAAAATACATTTCTTCACCGTAGCTGGTTAATACAAGATTTTCTGCATCACAGCCTTTTCATAGCACAGTGGGATTGAGACTACAAATTAAACATTTGAATGGAAAACACAACGGAAAGCTGAATGAAAGAGCATACAGGGCTTAATTAGTTATTAAATATACCGGAGACTAGAAAAGTTGTAATTGGAAAATATTACATTTTTCAACACTCTCACCTCACGATTGAAATAATGAAAATAAATGGATTACACCTGGTTCACTACATAGACGATCCACAGGAAGTAAATATTATTTCATCAGAATGGAAGGGTATGCAAACTCTTCACAAAATCACTTCCGCCACCAGGTTGCAGATTAAAAGTTCCTGTGAGGTGACTTAGCATTGTGGTGACAAAAAAACAACAACAATGAGTCTTTGAGGAAAATGCTAACACGATCAGAATAAAAACGCTTTCTTTAGGGTATAGACACGTTTTTTCAGTGCATTATCTTTAGTGGACCAGTTTGACCTGTTGAAGAGGCTTTACAATTTACAGGCCTTAAAAATACATTTTCCCTTCGTTGTATCTGAGAGTGCTTGAAGAAAATGTCTTCTCGGTAGTAAACGTTGGTGATTTGCTTACCATGAGCTATGAAGTAGTTATGAAAGCACAAAATGCCGAAAAAATAAGTAAGAAATCTTGAGGACAGAAACTTTCTTTGAAATCGTCAGTTTACCGGTGATAAAAGGCAGACAGTTCAATGATCCTTACCCTTGTGCTGAAAGCCCTGAACGGACTGCTGTCTGCATGTTCAATGGGGTAGGTTATGTTGAAATCATGGCCACAGGTGCCAGGAGCGAAATTGAGGTGTTCAGCTGTGTAGATCCAGTGAGTCCCATCGGAGTGATCAGCAGATGGTTCCAGTACATAGGATTTGCCTTCAAGAGTTATGAAACCCCTGCAGAGAAAGGAAAGGTGAGACAATTCTGTTCATGTTTTCAGAATTCAAACACTGGTATTGTGCTAAAACATATCAGATGTGCAGCAAATAATATTGTTAAGCAAATCTAGCTGAAATAAAAGTAACAATGGCAATTTGTGTGACAAACTACAGATGCTACATCAATGTGATGACTGCAGTATTATATATAGAGTTGTATATCTTAGAATCCCATTGTTTCCTCCTCTTTAATTTTTCTCATGGTTTAACCGTGGCCTTTCTAATTTAAAGTGACATCCTCATGCAGAGAATCTGGAAAAACTCTGAGATTCTCACGGACCTTCAATATTCACAATCCAATGAACTCACACTAACCCCCTCCCAAAAAAGAAGCCTCAGCATTGCCAACTTTAAACCAAAAACAATTTGTCTCTGTGAGCCGGGCAATGTAAAGCTCTGTCATGTTATGTGCATATATTATTGTGCGTACAGGTTATAGAAAAACTGAAATAAATATTAAAAACAAAGGGCAACAGCGAGGGCTTTACAATCCGGCGAATCATCCGCGGAGGGTGTAGAAGTTTGGCTGGTTTCTGATAACATTCCTGATGGTGTCCAATGATATTACTGCAATCATTACTCCCGTTTGACATCTTGTCTAAAGCCTTACAATATGTCAACTTTACTGCTTTTCAACAGTATATAAAGACTGACATCTCAATGTATTAATGTAGCAAAATGAATTATTTACTAGGTTCTGCTGACACGCCATTTCTCAGAGTTGTACACTTGCGACTTATGACTTGGCCTTGAGTCAGACTAAAGGGATAATTTCGGTTTATTACGACCCTGGATTGGATTTTCATAGCTTTGGTGACAATTTTAATGGTTTTGATGTCATCGTGCTGATGAAAATAATTGTTGTGAGAGGTTGTAAACAACAATTTGGAGACTTAATTTGGAGATATATGTAAAATAAGTACCAGAGATGGCGTTAATAATGTATTTGTGTACCGAAAGAACTAATGCAACAATGGCAAGTATATGGGCTGTCTGGTTACTTCTGTAGTTTATCACAAAGGCACTAGACCATTGTTTCTTCCGTGACAAAATGAATAAATGTCTGACAGACTTACTTTATACCAGTACAGGTACTGAGACTGACGTCTGAGTTGACATATCCCTCCACCTCACCGTGGTAGTAGCAGTTTGCCTGAAGGAGCACAGACAAAACGTTTTTCAGTATTTAAAACTCAGGACAAAGGGATGGGACCACCAGTGTGGCATGAAACATGTCACAGCTGTACACCCTGATCACCGTGAAATATGACCAGATTGACTCTTTTGTTGCTAGAAAGCAGCTATTCACTCTCCAACAGGCTGATGGTGGTTGAAATCTGTGCAGCGCATCATATTTCCCAGCACAATCTTTGCATACGGCTGCATTCCCAGGTACCAGCTTTCAAGGACCACCTGTCAAGCTGCAGAAGGGAGTAACGAAAGTGAAGAAAGCCCATGTTTATTGAACCAGGCCTGGCAGCGAGAGGGTGGGGAGGAAGCGTCTGGTTTAGAGTGAAAACAGCCTTCAGTTACAAGGCCTCGCTCAGGTGAGGTCTAACCAACCCTACTGCCACCCTGTTCTGGAAAACAAGGAAATGAGTTTTACACCCCTCTAAATATAGAGTGCAGGCAGTACATTTAAATGTACGGCCCAATGCAAGGTGGCTAACCTCGAGAAACTGCTTGTTTCACATGTTCAGAGTCTAAATGAGTTTCTGGTTTTAAAAGGGGATCCTTTCCTATTTTTGCATTACAGCACTTTTTCACAGTGATTCTACAATTAGACCAAAATAATCCAATTAAAGTGTTCTCACTATAAACAGCATTGATAGTGCCTTTATTGAAGCTGAATCTTTAAGAAAGCCACACACTTAACAGTCCAGAGATTGATTTCCTGGACCTAAACACTTTGGATTGCCAGAAAAATGAACCCAAAGGAATGCTAATGCTGCTTAATGTCTGCTGGATACTTTGTTTGTTAAGATTGTGCATTTGCATTAACAACTTTATACAATGATAATATGTCAATGGTGTTTTTACAACAACAAATAAACATTAATACTGCTTTGAGAACTTCAGAACATATTCAAAGAACTTAAACATACATTTTGTTGCACAATTGGACTGGAAAGACTTTATATCACTAAATAATCCATGCAGCGCTAACATTTGTTCAAACATATTTGGCTATACACTTAATTGTCATATAAACATGATTGTTTTAGGGACATGTTGAAAAATGAATTTAGCTATCAAAACAAAAACACAGAGAGGACGTTGAATAAACAGACCCAAAGCCTTGAGAGCTTTGTCTGTTTGGCCACTTTCCATATATTTACCTGGAGGTGCACTGAAAGAGAATCATCCATTACGTCAAGGTAAAAAGGCAAAGAAAGGACAGCCCAATACATGAAATATGACATTTTAGTGTAGCAAGGAGGAGCAGGGCTGGATTTAGTGCGCCAAGTTAATGCTACCACCTCATGTTTCTTTGATGAGATCATGACAGTGATGCATCGATATGAAAGATATGAATAGACTTTTTGTTTCGGCAGAAATAAATGAGAAAGGAAAGTGCTTACGCCTTCATATCTGGAATAAGAAAGATTAATAACTAATACCCAGATTATTGTAGGAGGCAAGGTCGGGTGTGAACATCATATTGTTTATCATACTGCTTATTATTCTAAGTTAACGCTCTAAGAGCCATGCTAGTGATTCATATCCCCAGTAGTGTTTGTTACAGCACTCGTTTATTGCATTGTGTGTGGACTTTAGTGAGAAAGGGAGAGGACGAAAACAGGAACCGAGGGAGGGCTGACTCACGCTGAAGTCAATCCCAACAGTACCTTACCTTTGACACACTACTGAACCCTCCAGATACTTGCCCAGATCACTATATCAGTCTCCTCCCTGCAGGCAGGACAAATAAATTAACTTTGGATCAGCCTCAAACAGATCTGGCCGTTTCCAGTTAAAAAAGACCCTCCCAAGCTGTGGTCATGAGAGAGGAATGAGAGGAAGGACGAAGGTCAAAAGATGTCTGTTAGTTCCCAAGACACTCAGCAGGTAGATACTGGCAGCTAGCCTTCGGTGCGTCCATTCTGTTTTTAATGCACCCACCCATCAAATGCAGAACAGGTGCTCAGAAGATTATGGCTAGGAAATAAATTGATGCAAACGAGGCATAAATGACACTTGAGGATATGCTGCTTTCCTTTGTTTTACATCGTTACTTCATCATTTGGATAGTTTGGGCTGTTTATCCACGAAAAAAACAATCAATATAAAGGCAACATCTTGGGCTGAGTGGTGCAGTGATGACGTATTTTTGTTAGGCCGACCCGGAAGTAAGCTGCGCATGGGTTCCCTCGACAAAAAAGCAATGGGATTTCTCCATAGGATTTTGGAATATTGTAAAAGATAAAATCTGTGGAACACAAACCTGTTTGATAAATGCACGTTTTGTTCAGCCGGATAATATCCACATGTCTACCCTACTTTTATAATTTTCGAATCATAAATCTAATCGGTGTAATGACGAGTTTGGCTTAATGACGAGTTTGGCTTAATGACGAGTTTGGCGTAATGACGAGTTTGGCGAAATGACGTACAACGTCCTCAACAACTTCTGTAGTCCTATTCAGCCACTTGTTAACAACCATCGTTTTTTTTAGACACGTAAACTCTTCGAAAATCTCCAGTGGCGTCACTGCTGATGTATTTAATGTCGTAGAACAAAACGTGATCCGTCTCTTAAATTTGCGTCATCACTTCCGGGTTTTAGGACTCGTTTCTGCACCACTCTATTGGACATGGTGATAACATTTTTCCCTAACACCAAATATTCGAAGGACTTAGTGATGAATCTATCTTGATAATGAAGCCCTACACCAATTAGTCCATCCAACCGCTCATTGATGCCATGTGCATCAATATTGCCTCTCAGTGTCTCCTAAAGTTGACCCGCCTCAACTCCTTCTTTGTCTTTGTCCTTTGGTAACGCGGAGTGACAGAGCCAAGCCACTGATGGCGACAGCTCTGGTCTCATTGCAGTCTCAAGAGGAAATAATTGTTCCTTTCACTGTGTGGGCTGGCTATTATTGAATTATATTAATCTCCTCTTTTGTGAATTTTCAGCATAAGTAGGCCAGGCATTTTGTACACAGACCTCGCAGGATGTCTATTAATATGCTTTCTGGAGATCTGAACAAAAACGTTTAATTGCTTTCCAAACAGCAGATGATCAAATCACTGAAATCAGGCAAGCAGGTGGAAGCTTTGAGGCGTAGAAAGTGTTCCACATGGTGCTGCTAAATCATTCTCATTCATTACAGAGTGCTCTACACATAGTTTCCTAATAGTCTCGCTGTTCTCTAACCTGGGAAATGTATGGAACATTTATGGATGCATGAAATGTGTTTTCAAAGACCCATTGTATTTGAAAGCCGAACAGATGAGCTATACAGTATTTATTCCAACCAAATCACAGGAAATTAAGACCAAAGTAAAAATATATAATTAATTATCTCATAAACTGCTCAAAAGAGAATATATTTAAAATTATACATTAGAAAATCTGACGTTGCACCCTGAAAACTATTTTATTCTCTTATCTCAGTTTTAAAAGCACGAGTCTTATGACGCAATGATGGGTGATGAATATTTTACAGTAAGTGTGACTTCTGAAGTGCATTTAGATGTTCACTAGTTCAGTATATCTGTGCAGAGCTGCGTTACAAAGCATTTTTTGAGATGGTTTGAAGTCCATCCATTATAAAATACATGAGCCGCTTCCTAAATCGGAGTTGGCTCTCTGACCTCTGTTCGCCTTTTATTCCATCAAATATGAATATACTTCCTCATACGCAAGACGACCCAATTCCTGGCGGTTTAAAAGTGGGTCTAACTGCGATATCAATGTTTTATTACTTCCTTGCTGACCTTAACGAAAGCACAATGGAGCAGAACCCGACAGGAAGTACGGGTCCACAGCAGCCCGATATCCATAGGAGCTGCTGGGTGGGTAATGAAGAGAAGTGTCAGCTTCGATAAAGAAACAGAAAATAAAAGGTTCTTAACATACCGTGAAGTTGTCCGAGCCGGTGACTGCAATGCCGTCTTCTAGGTAATGGGTTTCTGTATAGTTACTTGAAAACAGCCCCCTAGAAAGAATAAACAAAGAAAACAAACAGAAATGACCCTCTGGGGCTTTATCCTGAAAAATCAATCACAATGTCTTAGGCCAGACTTGCATGAAAAGTAAACAGTTTGATATGATTTAAAATGTAACCCTGCTTCAGTATAGATTGAATTGAAGCACCTGTAGGCTACAAGAAAACAAATTAGATTTGTTTTAAAGGCTGCTGTTACATGTTCTGTTTACTTTCACACCATATGCAAGCACCATAAAGAAGCATCCAATATCAATCCATAACTCATTCCATGTGATATGGTAGAACAGTTATTAGCTCACACATTACAGACAATGGCAAACAATGAGCAGATGGACATAATAGAGTTATCTGATGAAAGCGAGAAGGAGGAGATTATGTTGACAGGAAAGCAGTGAAGGAGTCATTTTTAGTTACAGTCGGGAATCAATAAGACTACGAAGTGACTCTCTGAGGTTACCAAGCGCGATCCATTTACAGTTTATATCTAGAAAGCTCAATAAATCAACACAACGAAACTCTGCTGCGGGCAAACCTTTGCCCTGCTCTCTCTTTCTTCCTGTTCACGGGTCCCTACCATGTAGGCCAAGAAAGATTACAGCAATACCTTGCTAATGTGATACCCACTGCCTTCTCATTTGTCTTCATCAAAGCAAACTCAATTTTGTTATCTCTACTTCACAATTAAAGCTTTCCACTAGCAAGGTTTTTACTGTGAAGCAAAGGCTCCCTGTAGTCTTAGTCAACATGATGTTAAAAGCATGTCTTCTGTATATGAAGATATATGGCGCTTAAAGCCCTTTGTAAAGTCTTTAATATTGCAAGGAGGAATGGTAAAAGAATAAATGCTACCAAGAGATACAAAATGGCATCAGTACTCTAACCAACTTTGAACTGTGGTCGTCCTGATCTTTGGAAAACAAATTCTTGGAAAATAGGCCATTATGACATATGTGCTAATTCCTTCTAATGGCATTTTCATTCTGCAAGAAGAAAACATTTGTATTTTTGAATAAAAACATCTTGAGATAAGGTCCCACTTACTTGTTGATTACAAGCTATAAATCACATCTAATGACCATCATAAGGGAGTTGCTAAGTTGTCACTGAGAAGGTTTAGTTGTTATTAATTACACTGATAAAACAAATACATTGGACATTGTGTATATCATTTATTTGTCAAGCTGCTGTTTTCTACGGTCAATAATTAACCTTTCAATATTTTGTCCCAAAAGGAAATGCATTTACAACTATCTGACATTGCATTTCACAGAATGTATGAATAGTTACTGATTGATATCACTAAATCTGGTGTCCTCAAGAGCAGCAAACTACACACCTTTCAGAGATCCTGAAGAGCTTTCAAGACTTTTTAGGTCATTTATCATTGACACTCAAAATATTGATTTTGGTATACCACATAACCGCCAAACTGCGCTGAGATGTCACCTCAACGACAATGACAAATCTGTACAGTTACAGCCCATCTACAATGATGGCTGCCCTTTTTTTCACCTACAGTTGTTACCAAGAAAAAGCTATGTGGACCCCCTCCTGGGCTGATTATTGCAGCATTAGCATGTGTATTTGTGTTCATGATTTGCATACGTGAGGATGAGTGTCCATGTATTGTACATACAGCGAGTACATGTACAGTAATAAACTACAGGACACCAGCAGATGGTTGGCTGGTGCTAATCCACAGCAGAGAAACAAACCTCAGCATGCAGCTGGATTCTCTTACTGACCTCACCGCTGACAACCCAGCTGGGAGTGTCAGCTGTAACAACCTGGGGAGGGGGGTTATTTTGTTTGGGAGCTGTCGGCATGAGATACAATACTTCCCCGCCCTCTAGAGCAGAGCCAAATAGCTGGTAATAATCATTGGATCAAAGCGAGGCCAAAGAGAAGAGAGCGCCAAATAAAATGATGTGCTTCTTCAGTCTTAATTAGGTCTGCACTCTCAGTTGGACAGTCAACCTCAACATCTGCCCACAAAGGACAATCCAGTGTGGTGATTGTGTTTGCTTCACTGCTTGCCTGTAACACTCTGGGAGAGTCTGGGAATGAAACATGAAAACATGTTGCGGACACATGGAACCAAGAAACTTCACCTTAGTCCAACTGAATGAGGTAGTCTTGCACTGTTAGCAATGGTAGATGAAGATTACTTATATTCCCTTTCTTTATTGTTACTTGCACATTCTCCAATTTCCTGTAGACTTGGCCATCACTGACATCTCAGAAATAGGACTGAGTGGCCAGTGGTGTCATACAGATGTGTTACGTTCCCTCTTGGCTAGGGGTACAAAGGGACACGACACGACCAGTTCGGAATTGGTAATTGTTACCGGTGGTTTATTTGTAACCAAAACTTTGAACACAATAATATCCACACGAACAGCCTGGACCAACAACGGACCAAACTGTTACGGTTTAACAACAAAGAACTCCAAAAGAGAGTTGCACAGTATGCTACAAAAGAAAGAACGTACCTCACTTCTAAAGTGGAACAAAACACTAAACAAAAGGATGCTGTGTGGAAACACAGCTGTTGCTGATCAACCGGTGCTAATCACCGGGGTCTAAGCAATAGTTTCACAAATGCTGATCTACAGGCGCTAGGCTAACCTGGGTCTAAGCTGTTTCACAATGTCAATAATCTAAATGCGGTTCTAAAGGAGCTAAGCAACCTGGATCTACGCAATACACACACACAAACCCTACACTAAACACATAATACTACGACACACTGCTAATCAGTGTGCTCGCACAGAACCCTACTGAACACACTGCTAGGCAGTCTAATGAATCACCGAATACACACTGCTAAGCAGTCTAAGGAATCACAGAATATGGCAATGTCACAATGCGAGGCTTGAGGCGTCTGTCCCAAAATACAGAGCCTCCCGAATGGTGTCCGTGTCCGGCCTTTATGCTCCTCCCCCGGATGACGTGGCAGAAGCGGGCGGGGATTGGGTGACGTCCGTCCAATCACCGCGGATGTTACGAGGTCGGTACGGCCACTGACAGCATAGGAACCGCACAGCTCATTTACATACACACACACAACCAGAGTTAAGGGCACAAGGTAACAGCGGCTGTAACAGATGACTGATCTAAATGTGAGGCCAGTGGTACTTAATGAGAGGTATCCCACTACCATTCTTTGGTTGGTAACCTCAGCCTAGCTGAACTTAACTAAGGTTAACTTAGAGCTAGCATTCCTTGGCTGCTAACTCACATGGCGAGTAGTTTCACAGCACGGGTTGTAATGGGTGCCAACATTCAACAGTTTCCTGGCAACAGCAGTTAACCCCTGTGCGTAATGACTAAAGTATTTCCACCATCAATTACCTTGGAAGTGGTTTAAGAATACATGTTTAATGTTCAGTATGAACAGAAGGGAAAAGCTAATCCAATGCTATATGGGCACCTGGCTATTGCTTTGAGACAAACTGATCCCTGAATAGGTTAGAACATGATAAACTACACAAATTAGAGTTGCAATCTGCACTACAAACATGCAATACAGCACAGCACAGAGGTACCATTTACATAATGTAGACAAGGGTTGAAAGAAATGTACAGAAAACATTCTAATGTATGTAACCCAGCGGACAACACCTGTAGGTTCATCTCATCCCATTGGGGCGATGAACCAATACATCATGCTTCTAATTCCACAAACCAGACGTCCGAGTTACAGCAGCGGCTCAAAGTTTATCAATCAGCCGGAAGTTAATGAGGCATGGAAGAAGGGTGGGGATGGGGGGTCTTGACTCTTGCCCTCCATTTAAAATGCAGTACACATGGGACAAGCCTACAGCAGGGCTCTGTCTGACTGACAGGACGTTAGTATTCAGGTAGGGACACCAAGAATCAACAAGAATATCCTGAATACCAGCTACTAAATGCCACTTCTGTTAATCAAATGTTTCTGTTGTATCTGTTCAACATTGTCAGCCTCTTCCGTCTGTCTTTGTATAGGGAAATAACACTGGGAATTGCACAGTGTCTTATCTAAATGGAATATATTTTAAAATATCAAAGCTTACTCTGCAAACACAATCCCTGTTGTGAACGTTCTTCTAATTCAGAAAATACAACCACGCCAACCCCAGGAAACTTATCTCATTGGTGTTTTCTTAACACATTCCATCATTTTCCCCACATATGGTCTTAATTGCAAGTGTTTGCTCTGCTTCTACGCGAGTAAAGCAAATGTTGCGGTGTGTGAGATATATTAATTGCAACAGGCTTGATGAATTAGAGTTGGTTCCTAATCAATCAAAGGCAAACAGGAGGTCTTATTTGTAGGTGAGAGCTGTGTACGACTTATAAAAAAGGTCCGTTACAGCATATAAAGAGCTTTTATATGCTAATGTACAATGAGTTTCTATTGATTATGACATAATTGCACATCCAGTCTTTTTTGTATGTGAATTAAAACGTGTGATGTGACAACGAAGGATTCAGACATCCATATCAAGAGCTTTCACTGGTGAACAAATCTTGAGGAATAAACAAATACATTTTTAAACATCAGGTAAAGAAGAGAAATATTAATGTTATTGTGAGGAATACTTTGTTTCCTTACTCATGCTGCATCAGTTTTATTTGGCGGATTATACAAAAACTAATTTTTCAGTCAGTAGTCACAAATGGGTTTTCAACTTCAAGCCCTGCAAGACTCCTCCGTTTCTCCACATGAAGTATCCAACCAGGCTAAAAGAATACTTGAGCATAGAAAGATAGTGTGAAGGATAGTGTTTAAACGTTCTTTGACAATAATGTGAAGTATTTTATAAATAACATCACTTCCTTTAAAGGTGGGGTAGGTAATTTTGGAGAAACCAGCTCGAGTGAGCAAGAATTTGAAAATACACATTCGGAAAAAATCTGCCACTTCCTTACAGAGCCCCTCCTCCTACACACACGAACGCGCACATGACCAATGAGGGCACGAGATAAGTTTGTGCACAGATGGA